AACCAATTTAACATGCTCCTTTGAAAGGAGCAGATTCCTTGCTGCTTGTGTGTGTTACTTCTGGTGTTCATCTGAGAATACTCTAAGCTAATTCCATTTACGAAATGGGGGGAATGGTCCAGGTGAGTTTCTGTGAGTTAAATTTGCTTGCCCTAAAATCAGCTGAGTTCCAGAGGAAGCTTGAGCAAGGGAAGGTCAGAGAAGGAGCTTGATCAAGAGAAATATAGTGGAAGGAAATGAAACGTACTTCTCCAGTGGCAGCAGCAAGCAGTTCATGGAACAGCACTGCTGAAGACAGCTTACTTTCTCTAAGAGATTTTGTCCCTGTATAGGTTGAGAAGAGCTTTCGCACTGAAAGCATATTTGGCCTTGAGCTTGTTATAAAGGTGTTTTGCAGTGCATCTGAGATGCCAGTGTGTGATGCCTAATTCTGCTGGTATCCAGGCTGTATAATTTATCAAAATACTGAGGAAACTTTCAGAAATGCTGAGAAGCTAGGTGCTTGTAGTTAGAGCTCACTGGAAATTCTCCTTGCTTCAAATCTTGATGGAAGTTCAGTACCTTACTGTAGATTTAATTTCTGGTTTAGTCCCTCAAATTTTGGGTCTTTTTGTCTATTTCTAAATGATTGGAAATATATTTGTGGTCTGATCGCTGGAGGCCTGTCTGTAAGAAAGAGTTAGTTTATAGCTCAAATGTTGCCTCTTAGACTGGCCTATGCATGCCAACTCATTACCTCATATAAGGTGATGGCCTTTATCTCTGGCTAGTTATGGCTAAAGCCTTTAGGGAAAAATTAACAGTTGTTAATGTGACCTTGTAGCTATATAGATAAAGCTTGTTCTCTTTAAAGCGTCGTTTCGGAATCCCCTGTATTCTGGAAGAATATACAGAAGTTACCTCACAATTTGGAAGCAAATTTGTAAATCATCATATGCTTATCACAGTGCAGAGAACAGGATGCACCTGTAGAACTTTACTGTCACTCCTGTGTTGTGTTATAGTATACCTAAACCAAATTAACTGTACTGAAAGAAAGTAAATCATTGAATCAAGAGGAGGGAAGATAACTTACAGTACTGGTATCTAGTCCACATCTTTAGGTATGAGGAACTTCCAAACACTGTTACACTGTTGCTCTATAGCCCTGTGGAAGGAACCAGGAATTCTATACAGTAAAGTGCCACTCCTGAGTTCCTAGAAATTTTCATTCCTTACATTTTACTTATATTTTTGTGTGCAGTTTTAGTTGGAGGGTGACTTTATAGGGCTGTGGGGGTTTTGTGTAGACTTAATACTCCGTGTGGTGCTTTATCTCTACCGAGCAGATAGTATGTAATACATACTACGTCATCTCGTCTCATAGTTCAGTCTGTGATAGCAAGAACTTTGAAGACAACTTCTCTACCTGCGCCTCAAGCCCATACCTTGCGAGAATAAGTCTTTTAAAAATAGAGTTTTCTGGAAAAACTAGTATTAGAGTTTTGCAGGAAGTTAACATTTTCCAAAACTGGTAAAGTGTTTTGGGGGAGGGCATGCTTCTTGAATAACCTTCCTTCCCTTCCCTCCTTCTCCCCCCCCAATGGCTATCTGTTTTAATAACTTGGACTTCACAAGTATTTTCTGTTAATTCTCTAGTTAATTAGCTGAAAACCCTTTTTTCTCTGAAATGATTTGCTTTTGTCTTAGCCAGAAGAGGTTGTTATAAGAACTTAAAAGATACTGAGTGTACTGCATCATAGCTACAGGGTTTGTTTGGTTTTGGCTTTTTATAAAGAAAATAAAATTTTGGATTACACTCTGTAGTTCCTCTTCATTCGTAAGATGTTAATATACCTTACTTTAAATACTCGGAATTAAAGTCTGTAATATGCATTTTAAATACTTTTCAATAATGTTGATTGTAAGATTTTGTGGGAAATACTGAAGTGCAGTTAGGTCGTATTTTTAAGATCAACACATGCTGTCTTTAAGAAAGCTGGAGTAAAAACCTGGCTGCTGATTGTTATTTATCAAACTTCCTCTTCAGGGTTGTGGTGTGTCCATGTTCCCATTACTATGTGCTGGTAACAAAAACCGGAACCACACCCTATTGTATTGCTCTAAATTCACTCATTTGGAGTCGATGGATTTTTTCCTCATTGTTGATCTTGTCAATGTAAGCAGCTGTTTGCAGGAATGTGCATGATGGGCCCTCTAGTTTCCTTGACCAGACCAGGAAGAATTATCTTTTAGCTAATGAAGGATGGTTAATAGTCAGCCAGCGTTGTCTTCTGAATGAATTGATGAGGCACTTGAAAGCTTTGTTTATGTTAGATTTATCGGAACACTTACCGCTGCAAGTTAAGCTTATGTTTAACAAGCTTCTTGCATACAGTGGAAAAGGGAAACCATTGGTCATAAAACTTCAAATATTAGTGAAATGCATCGAAGTGCGAAAGTGGCAAGTGTGATACCCAAAATGGCAGTAAGTGATTTTCCCCCCTAATTCAGTGAACTTTCAACATAGTGGTACATCGTTAGTGCATCAGTAGCATCAATTCTTGCTCTGTCATTTGGAGAGCATAACTTCATACTTCCTACATACTTTTGAGGTTTCAGTTACACTTTGTCAGAAACTTTATGGTATTGTACATGTGATGCAGCCCAAGTGTTCAGATAGATCCCTTCCACTTCAGTGGAACTTAGGTATGTGCTTACATAAATTGAAGCCTAATTTATTAAGTATTGTTATATTGTAGTTGTTGGTGTGCATTTAATATTCCATTTGGCACATCTCTACTAAAAGAGCAGAAGGGGAGGAAGATCATCATGCAAAATAAAGGGCTTCTCTGCAATGTTAGTAACAGAGATATTTGTTCGTATATGTCTGAAAACAAGACAGTAGCAGTAGCAATTTCCCTGTCCTGAACTTGCCACAAAGCCAGATGACCATAACTAGGTGGTTACTTTTCAGGGTATGGATCCTCTATCCTTGGCTCCTTTTATTATTATTGCTACATGCCTTTTTAAGCCATAGCTTCAGCAGTGATTGTGAATATGACCTTTTTCTCATTCTTTTCCATTCCCTGCTCTTCTGCTCACAAAACTAAAGAAGGTGCTTTTAAGTAGAAGGCTGTCTGTGTGCCAGGCAGTTACTGGAAGTCATTTTGTATTTTGATCCTACCCATTTTCAGCAGCTCTTTTGAGACAGCTCTTAAACTTTTGCCTGGTGCAAGAAAGTTTTTTGGAAATAGTATACTTGTAACTGGCATTACGACTCAAAAGGCACACACAGCTTGACAGTACAAAAGTAATAAACATAATTTGAGGTTATAGTAACTTTGAAATACGAGGGTGTCACTGGAGAGCATTTTCATATTGCTTACAATCTGTGGCTAAAAAAAAAAAAACCAACAAAAAAACGGAAAATTTTGTCTCAATGCCATGTCAGATAATATGAAGTATACTAACCTCCCCAGTGCTTCATGTCTTGTGCTGTTAGTAAAACTGAAAAACCTGCAGGGCTTTTCCTTGCCAGAGTTCAGGGCTGGGAAGTGTGCTTTGACATTTTATAGAGAACAAAAAAGCGCAAAAACTGACCTAACTTAAGCAATACCAGACAGAGTGCAAAAAACTCTTCTGTATGATGTGGAATGCTTGCCTCAAACTTCATTAAATGCAAAATGAACTTGCCATTATGTGTGAATTGCATTTGGTAATAACCTCAGGATGTTGTTACCAAGAACTCATCTTGCTGTTACTCATTTTCTCCATCCATCAAGGAGAGCCTAACTGTAGGAACCCAGGAAGACATTTTCTTAGTGTCCATAGGACCTTTTCTCTTTAAGAGAGTTCTTTGAAATCCTCAATCAGGAAGCCCTGAGCACATAACATCTCAAAATGCTTTTGTAGGAATTGATTAGTTATGTAAATGTCTGTTTGTACACTGACTTGCCAGTACCCAGTGAAGATGCAAACAAGAATATTACTTATACCATATAAATGCAATGTAAGGAAAAGTCTGAGTGACATGACAGCAAAGCCAACTCAACTCTAAGCTTTTTAAACTGTGATTTAAAAAGAGCTTTAATTTTGCATAAATACTAAGAAATAATTCAGTACTATTAAAAACAAACAGGAGTTTATAAAGCTGTTCTTTATTTTATAAAATCTTATTCTGAACGATCATGGGTTATACTTGTTAGTTGTTTCCTTTTTGTAAAGTACATATCTCTGGTGTCTGATCCTACCCCTTATCTGTTAGATCATCTTTTTACATTAATTGTCTTTGTCTTAATCTTTCCCTATAAAAAGAAATTACTCCGAGTGAGCTGAAAACTTGGTCTTAAATTTACTTTTAAGGAGGTGAAGAGAATTGCTTAACAAAAATGTGATTCACCATAGAAACAGCTCAGCCAATAGCCTATATGCAGTAAATTAACCATTTTCTGGTACTTTTGTATTTGATAGAAAACATAGCAACAAGATGATAGCTCGACAACAATAGCTGCTGCATGTATTTTTCTTCCTTTTTTAAAAGAATGTTCTTGTGGAAAAAATAGATTCCCTGGAAATTAATTTATATTACCAGTTTTATCACAAAAATTCTGTGGGTGGGTACAATAGGCTAGGAATTAAATAAGTGATTTGTATAATAAATGATGGTTTTGATTTGCTATGACACTTCTAGTCTCTTACAAGTGACATAGCTACAGGCAGTAGAATAATATCTTCTCCTTGTGAAGATAAATGTTGTATCAGACCAAACCATCTTATATTAAATTACAACTTCCCTTTTTTTACCATATGAAAAGATTCATGAGACTCTTCATTAAATAATAGCTCAACCCAATTAAAGGGTACTGCCATAAGAGGCCTGATCCAAATATAAGAATTTTCCTTTATATAGCAAGTGGTATGATTGTGGTCACACTGAGCTAGAAGGTCCTTTTCTTATCTCGATTAGTCTGAAACCTTCAAATGCAAATGAAGTATGATAAGAGGAATCTAGTATCTTGACTTCCTCTCTTGGGGGGAAGAGGGATGATATAGTGTGTGTGGCTCTTGTTGGACAACATGATTGTGCTCATACTGTTGGTTTTCATGTTTTGGCAGAGAGAAGGAGCAAGAAAGGGAAGAACAGTTAATGGAAGACAAGAAAAGGAAGAAAGAGGATAAGAAAAAGAAGGAATCTGCTCAGAAGGTAGGTTTTGATATTTGCATTCTTTTATCCAACTGTAACATAACTAGTATTTGGGCTGATAAGACGTTAATTTGTTTGGATTTGAGCTTAAAAATGTGATTGTTTAGAGTGATACTGCATTGAAGACTTTTTTGCATCATTTTTCTGCAACTTAAATGTTTAACTCAGACATTTCTTAGTATGTCATGTGAAGTAAAAGAAGGTTTTGGATAGAAACTATTGAATATGGGCTCTCTTGATCTATGCAACTCCTGATGTTTTGCGGTGTTTGGAGATGAAAATGCTGCTGGGATTTTGCAATTCTTGCAGTAAAATTGACTAAATATTTTATAGAGCAAGATGATACTTTTTTTTTTTTAAGTCCTTAAGGAGGCTTATATGAAATATTTACTACTGACGGCTCCCTTCATTTTTTTGTTAAGTATCACTTCGGTTTTACATTTTCTGTAGCCAGTAGCACTTTTGCTGAAGTGTATCAGAGTGTGAACCGTGGAGAATTGATAAGTCATTGAAAATGATTTTTGCTCAGAAAATGGGTTTGAACACTTGATATATTAGAAGCTCTCTATTCTGCTGAAAATCCAGTTGATAGAAAAATCGAGGCGTTGACTTGACATATGAACTTGAGTTTCTTGCGGCTTTATTGATATTTTTTACCAGTAAAATTGTTTCTGTCTAGTTCTGGGCTTCCCAGTATGAGACAGATGTAAGCATCATGGAGCAGGTCCAGCAAAAGGCCCCTAAGATGGTTAAAGGGCTGGAGCATCTGACAAATGAGGAGAGGCTGCGCGAGCTGGGACTATTCAGCCTGAAGAAGAGAAGACTCAGAGGGATCTTATCAATCAATATATATAAATACCTTGTGGGAGGGAGTAAAGAAGATGGAAGCAGGCTCTTCTCAGTGGTGCCCAGTGACAAGGCACAAGGCATCGTGCACAAATTGAAATACAGGAAATTCCACTTAATCATATAAAGACTTACTTTGTGCATGTGTGTGACTGGGCAACCACTGGAACAGGTTTCCCAGAGAGCTGGTTGTGCCTCCATCTTTGGAGGTGCTCAAAACCAAGTTGGATGTGGCCCTGTACAATCTGTTTTTGATGACTTTGTTTTTGAGTTGGAGAGAATCCTGGGGTCGGGTGAGGAACAGGACTGGGAAATGTGAACTAGATCTCCAGAGGCTGTCCCTTACAACCTCAATGATTATGTGAAATTAAGAGCAGAAGGCTTTACTTTCTTTCAGTTTACTTTCTTCCTCTGTTTTTCAGTTGCTTCAGTAACAACAGATCCTACAAAAAATCAGATCTTACTCTGTTAGATTTTGTAGGTTCCTGCTGAGAACAGAGAGCACTGATTTCAGTTAAATTTTGGTTTATCTGGGGTCTTTTTAAATCTGGCTTTTTCACCAATTTGAGTCTATCAATTTAAATCAGATGTGGATAAACTGGTGTATTTCTGTTGTCTTTATCCAGTCATTGTGTTGATACATCCCCAATAATACTGCAAAGATCAGAAGCTACAGAATAAGGTTTCTTCAGTGTCTTTTTGCCTCAGTGTTGCTGCTGTTGAATGTTCAATTACAAAAAGTGTATGTAGGAAGTGGGAGGAGCAGACCCTGGTAAACAAAAACTAGTGATTTGAGGATTATAAGCTGATACTCAATGATAAAAGAGAAATTTGTAAAGGTTATACTCGTCACCTTGATAACAATGCTGTGTTTACTGAGGAATCAGTGCTTTGGATACAAAGGAGGTTTGACAGCTTTCCTGTGTGGTCCCTCACCTACTAAGTTACTCAGTATGATTGAATGTTATGATATTTTGCCAAAATCTTGGGAAGGGTAAGCACTAAATAACTTAATCGCCTAGAGACCAAACTTAACAGTAATAATTGGAGATATCTAGGAATAGCAAAGTAGGCAACGAAACGGACAGAACATAAATGTGTGTGTTCCTTCTTAGTGTTTGTGGTGTTGTTCACCAAGTAAGCAGTAAGGATTTGAGGGTACCTTTTTCAGAAAGAGTTTGTATAACGTGACACAACTGTTTCTGTCTGGATCTTCTGAAACTGGAAAAAAAAAAAAAAAACAAAACAAAAAAATCACTTCAACAGAGGTTATGCAAGCAAATTCACAGACTGAATTCCTGTGGTTAGTGTCCCAGGGGCTGTTTGGTAGCTTGTCAGAAGGCTGAGTTACACTCCGCCTTCTGTTCACTATAGCTGCTCCTGCCCTGCTGATGCTTATAGATTGCCCACAGAGAGATGACAGCTGTAAATCTGAGACAGTGTCACATTTTCTCAGCTTTTATAAACAAAAAAAAAAAGTAATCACAAAACCAGATCATTTTGACTAGGAGAGAGATACATATAGGCAGAAGGTTTTTGTATTTTTTTTCCCTGCTAAAGAAAACCTGGGTTTATCATGTAGAATTCGTTAAAGATTTGGTAAAATGGGGTTCTTCCAAGTAGACAAGTTACTCATTTACTGAACATGTTTACCGTTGACTGTAGTAAACATATCAGCATTACCAGACTGGATTCATTAATAATTTTTTTTCCCTCTTCTTTTCCCTCTAGTAGTGAAGCAACAGAGTCACTTAAGTTCTTAACAGAATTTTTAACTTTCTTACAGAAGATGATGTAATTTGCATATGGGATTTCTCTTAAGTGAAGTGAAAATTCTGAAATGTGTGTCTTGATACAGACACAGTTTTGGGACGTGCATTTTTAGTGTCTTGGAGACTTTTGGATTGCATGATTCTGTGAAGTTACAATGCTTAAGATTTTGTATTATAGCGAACGTTCCACTTTGCGTATTGCAGTGTTCATCTTTGCAAAGTAAATGATGCCATAGCAATTCAGTGCAGTTTGTCTTTTTATTCTTTACCATACAAAGGAGTTCTGGTTTGGTTGGTTTAAACAATAAACTGCTTTTTACTTGTGCTTTCATTATTCTATACTGTCACTCTGTGCTTTCCAGAATTATGGACTAGTTCAGCAATTTCTTTTAAGAATAGGTGTCATAGAACCTGACACATGATGATCTTTAGGGTTTTTCCATTATTGTGTAGTGGAACTCATGATCGACAGGTTCAAAACATGCTACAATACACATGATTCCAGAGAATATACCAGTGGTATGTTTGTCTCTACTGTAGCTTGAAATCTGCTATGCTGAAAGAATGTAGAAGTACGGCAAAACCACGTATTGAGTACATTGGCCAGTGTGATGGCTCACTTCAGTAATCCAGTTCTTACTGCGTTCAAGAGATTTAGAAGTCTGGTGCTTTATAGGTATTGCTGGTACTTTTTGTAATTGTGGGAATGAATTCAGTGAGGTTTAGGATTTCTTCTCCTTGGAAGAGATATCATGGGAAAGGTGAAATGGGAAGATGGCAGAGGCAGAGACTGCTATTCTCACCTGTGGTTGCTCCTGTGGGAATTCCGTTGCTAGCCCCAGCAGTCTGCTGTAAGGATACTCTCATAGAAGGAAGTTTTTGATACACTTTGATACTTCACTCCAAAATCTGGAAGAACTGTAGTGCTATTAGCACACGTTTATTTGTGCTTTGGAAGTCCATGTTTGGGATGAAGAGCGGGGTGAATGCTAAAAACCATGAGTGAAGTAATTGCTGTTCTGCCAGGGAGTTTTGCATCAGATAAAGGTATTACAGGAGCTGCAGTATTTTTGAAAACTTAATATGTATGCCTAGGAATACTGTTTAGACTTGTAGTGCTTGTAGCTGATTATTTTCATACACCACCAAATATTGTTCTTGTGCTAATAAATTAAGGTCATGATTTAGTGCAGCCTGTTCAATGTTTGTTCTGAGGTTCTTAAAACTCTATTTACATTCTTGCTTTTAATTTGCAGGTCACAGATCAAAAAACCAAAGGTAAGACTCTTTGATCCTAAAGAGTATTTTTTTACTGACTTGAGCCAAGACTCAGATCTTGATCAAAACTATTGGAAAAGGAAAGGGAATTAGGAGTCAAGATGAAATACTGAAGATGTGTATTCAGAAGAAATAAAAATTGAGGTGATAAAATGGAGAGCCTAAAACTATCCATGTTGTCAGCATCAAAATACTTGAAGAGGGAGTGAGAATTGTGGATAGAATGGGTTAGCAGAAATACTTAGTTTTCAGTTTTGTGAAGGTTTTAGACAAGTAACCAAAAACTGAAACAACCTATATAAATGGAATGGAAGACAGGGAAAGTACTGCTTATGATGAGGTACCAGAATGAGTGAAAATTACTTGCTTTTGGAAACATAAGTTCAGGGACATAAAAGTCCAACAGATGAGGCAGGACTGATGAGTGAGCATCTTGAAAATTAAGCTTATCTAACTGATCTAAAAATATATTTAATCTTGATTTGTGTGTCAGTTTTCTAAAAATTGTGTGGGGAAATTACCACAATCGACAGAAGAGAACTAAGATAGTAACTTGATTTTACATCTAACACCATGTTTTGAGGGGGGGGTGGGGAGGTGGGCAGTGAAGCCTATATAGAGAAATTGGAAAACCCTTATCAAACTAAAATGTGGGGAATGATGCATTCATGTTGCCAGAGACACTTGCTTGTCTTAATCCCACATTTGTAAGAAGAAGAGTTTTACTGATTATGTTCAGTTTGCTGGGGAGGGCTTTCTGGACATCCCTTTCCTGTATTAATCTTCAACAAAGGCTAGAGTAGATGTATTAAATTTTCCTTGCCTTTGGAGCCTGATGTCTTAGCAATTATACCTTCTAGGTCCCTGACTAGGAGTTTCTTTTGCTATGGTTCAAAAAAGCACATGGAGAATATGGGTAAGGGGTCACAAGTCTAGAGTCTCTTAAGTAAATTTTGTGACTGTGTTAGTTCCTCAAGGATTTGTTTGTGGTTTTCCTCTTCTCCAATGCATAATAGCCCTCAGAAGCAGCTTGTCCTTGCTTATAGGGGCACCTGGTGACCAGCTGGGAAAGTGAGCCCCGTACAAATGCTGTATGTGGGACTGCCTTTTGGGTGAGAGTCAACTCTTACTACCAAGAGGAGGTTGTTGGGGTTTTTTCCCCCCTATTTTTGTTTGTTTTGACAGTGGCCGTGTCTCCTAGTGAGCAGGTGAAAACTTGGGGATCTGATTTCAGATCTTCCATAAGGGTGATGCCTAACAATCCAAAAACCAGTTGAAGATCAGGGGGGTGGTGGGGGAAATGGTTATAATTGACTCCTCATATTTTAAAATTACTCATTGCCCGGGGTGGTGTTCTCTGCCAACTTTATGTTCCCAAGAAATTTGGGGCTTAGGGCAAGATACTTGCTGAGGGCAGAGTTTCATCCTGAGGCACACAGTTGCACATGGAAGCAAGAAGTTTGCTGCTGCTGCTGCTTACTCCTGCTTCTTCAATTAAAATGTTCTTTGATGAGGTTGAAGTTGCACAGTATTTCAGAGAAGAATGCCATCGCAGAAGGAAAGTGTCGCAGTGAGTTCTTGTAGCTACCACGGGTTTAAGTGGAAAATTTTCTGATTCTCATTCTTCCTGTTTTTCAGTGCCCGAAGTGACGAAACCAAGTTTAAGCCAACCAGTGGCTGCCAGCCCAATTGGCAACTCTCCATCGCCACCAGTCAATGGTGGCAACAATGCCAAAAGGGTGGCAGTGCCGAACGGACAACCGCCAAGCGCCGCCCGCTACATGCCTCGGGAGGTGCCGCCGCGATTCCGTTGCCAGCAGGACCACAAAGTGTTACTGAAACGTGGGCAGCCCCCTCCGCCATCTTGTATGCTCCTTGGAGGTGGAGCAGGGCCTCCTCCCCCAACAGCACCAGGAGCAAACCCAAACAACGCACAACCAGTGACAGGAGCACTGCTGCAGAGCGACAGTGGGACTGCAACAGGCAAGTAATAACGATACTGTTAAACGAACATGTGTGTATGCATGGCAGAAAAGGGATCACTAAAACTGTGCATGAGCATATCATATAATAAAACTCCTCATACTGCTTTTGGAGAGCTTCTGTTTTAGCATACGGATTTTTCTTTTGCTGTTAGTGTCAGTGGATGCAAGTTTTACTACTAGATGGAACAAGGAAGAGGGTTAATTTTTTTTAAAATATGTTTTGGGTGGTTTGAATTGGATGCTGTAATGCTCTTAAGCTGTAGCAAAGTAAACACAGTGCACAGATAAACAGGATTTTATGGTTGTCATTCAGCACTTCTTAATAGCTCTTTAGGTTTCTCTGGCATGATTTGCCTGTTTTGTCCCCTTTTTATATGATCTGGTAAAACAGACATGTAGATGTCAGGTCTGCAAATGGCAGGTATCTGTCACTTCTTGTCTGGATGAATAGAAAGATGGTAATTTTACTCTTGGCTTTTTTTTTTTTTTTTTTTTCAGTAGTAATCTTGGTTTTCTCCTTGGATGAGGCTTTTTATAAAAGTGGTAACTGTCCTGGTTTTGCTTTTCTGTTCACTTTGAATTCCAGAAGATAAATTGATTTTAAGATTGATTGTTTTATGAGCGTGGCAAAGTTATGACTGCTCCTGAATTTTTTTTAGACCATTGGGGAATTGCAGTAACTGTAATTCCTTCTAAAGTTATGATAGTAGAACAAAAAAAAATTCCACTCAAGACATCTGCCTTCTAAAGAAAAACTTAGGTGATAACTTCAGTTCAAACAATAAGGGCATTTTAAAAAGAAATAAGGAATGCTTGAAAATCGAAAAAAGAAAATAATGATACCGCTGTGTCTGAATTTGCCCTTGAAAATCATACCAGATTAATGGGATGGGTTTTTTTGCCACAGTCTTGGAGAGCATAAACTTTTATAGTTCTCTGTGGTTCAGAAAAAAAAAACAGAGGTGACTTTGAACTCCAGAATCAAGTAAGCTAGATGGGATGGCTGTCTTCATTTAAAAAGGATTCCAGTAAAAGGAATAAATCAGTTTTGTTTGCGATTTCAGTAGTTGAATCCCTTTGTGGTAAATCCCTGTTTGTCAGGTTATGTATCTTGTTGTCTTTGTTGTCCCTTATTTAATAAGGGGGGGAGCGGGGAGTGGATTTCAAACTACAGTGGCAAAGTTTTAGCTAATCAGTTTAAAAACAGATCTCTTCGAGATGGCTGATAGTGATAAAACACCTGAAAGATGAAGAGGGAGGGAAAAACCCACCCCCAAAGTCTTTCAACTATATATAAAATTCTAGCATTATGTCAGCACTGGTATACCTTCACAGTGATTGTAGTAAACTGACAAAGGAGCTAATGGTAGTGAAGCATTCTAAAAGTTTTCAAAACTTCTCAAGAGCAGCATTTATTTGCTGTTGGATGTACTATGAGGACCATTTTGAAGTATTTTTGAGGCTCCGTAAGGTCTGTGTAATTCATTTGACACCTAATATTTGTTTTTCTGAGACTGAAATTTGATTTTTGTGAATTCTCATATTTTTACATTTAGTTTAATGGTGCTTTAACAACTAAGATGTTATATGGTTGTATTTTATTAAGTGATTGTGGCAACTTTTTATGCAGATGGTTAGTTGCTTTATGCCGATGTCAGGAATATTGCCAAAAAAGAAATGGGTCCTTCAGATCTGCCTCAGCTCATCCAAATTTTTGCACCATTAACAGTTAACTGAGCTGGGGAGCTGGCTTGGATTAAAATCAACCCAGGTTGTTTTTTAAAGCTAATTTCAGTCTGTGTGATTTACCAGTTCAGCTCACTGAGTATCAGTGGGAATGTACATGCTAGCACGTGAGAGTAGGTGCACCAGAGGAGTGGGAATGAGCAGCAGGACGAGAAAGGCCAGGGCTGTCACTTAGGGTGCTCCATCAGAGTGCTGATGGAAGTTTGATGTTGCTGTATCACATATCATGAATCCCATCTGAGATCCTGGCTATTTACAAATTGGATTTCAGATTGGGCCTGGTTTTGTCAGGCACTTATGCACTGATACCGTGATTAATTCATCCCACGTGAATACAAAAACAGGTTCCCAGAGGGCAAAATAATGCAGTTTACCTTCTCCTTCCCATTGTTCAATTGACCAGCTAGCTATAAATGGTGTTGGTGAGGCTTTAATACAAAAAGACAATGCATAATCCTTCTTTACATGGGTCTTTTTCTACCAGAATTGAAATGTGTGAGATGACAAAACTCTAGTTCCCGGAAAGATGACACCAAATTTACTACTGTCTTGTAGCCGGGGGGGTTGGGGTGGAGAGTGGTGTATATAATTCTACCAATACCAGTGATATTCAGGATGTGCAAGACAATTTGGGGGAAAAAAAGCTTCAATTTTATTGGTGAAAGTCTTTCAATAGTTACAGTACCCTCTAAGAATCACAGCAAAACCACATCTTCATTTCAGGACCCCATTTCAATACTTTCACATATTTCAGTTCCATATTTTCATCCTTAAAAGTAGTCATTTGCTAATAACTTTTTTCATTTTAGCCAGTTTAGAAACTTGTTTATCTTCAGCATGTTTGTTATTAAGGAAGAGTCTGTTTAAGAACCAAGAGCCCTTACCCATTATCTTAAAACAAAACCATAAATTGCCAAAATTTTGTTGCCACTGTCAAATATAGCAAGGGGAGGCTGGTTTTATAAGACAGTCCATTAATTGTGTCCTAGTACGCAGTGTTACCAAGCATTCCAGTCTTAATACTTTTAGAATGTCTTCACAGAAATTAAATGTGAAATGCTCTGTTAAAATCACCTATGTGAAGATCTTGCTAAGTGAATAGCTGCATATGCATCATTCATTGGCTGAATCATCACAAAGTTCAAAAGACAGCAACCTTGCAGTCCTTTGAACTTGTCTTTGGCTGTCTTCCTTAAGCTATTCCCTGTGATCATTCTAATCAGTTTTTAAATCGGTGGGGGGAAAAGGTTACTCAGTGTACTAAAAGGATAGCCAGATGTAAATATCAGTAGTGTCACACTTCCTTGCTGTTGTTAAGTTTGCACTTGAGGTTAAGGCAACAGAAGGAGCAGAATGTGTATGGGAACTGCTTGGTCTTTTGGATCTTGATGGTTACAGTTTAATGGATGAAGACAAACTTTTGTTCATAAGTATTCAAAGCTTACAAGAGAGTTCTAACCTTGCAGTGAAGTCTGGGTCTTTACCGATGGCCCTCTATGAAGGGGATCTGGAAGACATTCAGTGGATGTTCCCTGGTTAACCTAATGAACTGAAAGCCTGATGGGACAGGCACTGAAATCTGATCTGTTAATCTTCTATTAAAAGTATTAGCAACCAAAAATCATGGTCTTCACTTTTGAATATATAACACAGGAACTTGAGGGGTGGGGATGGGGGTGAGGAAGTCCACTTTCTTAAGGTCATGATGCCTTACTTTCTTGGAAGCTGTCGTATGAACCAGTATTGGTAGTAACAATATATATTCAGGTATGAATACTGATGCAGATGTTACTATGAACTTTATGCTCTGCAGAGTAAGTTAAACTGGTTGGGTGGGATAACTGAATAAGACTAATATATTAGGATTCAATACATGGTTTTGTAGAATGGAGAGTGTTTAGTCTTCATCACTGGGAATTTGTAGTGAGGGCAATTTATGGTCCTTTGATATTAAAAATACATAGGAAAATGAGTGGAACCCTATGTAAAGAACAACATAGAAGTACTAATGGACTTAAGTTTTTTACAGGCTCAGAGGTAGTTATGTGGATGGCAAGGGAATCTTGGCTGACATTTTAAACTAATGATGATAACGTGTCTGCATATATGCAGACGTCATGCAGCCAGCACTGGCTTCATCCATTGTGGCACTCAGTTAATTTATGTCTGCTTTAAAACTACATAGAAATACCTTGTCCATGTGAAGTCATACCACATAGGACATAATAATAGTTCATCACAGATGAAAGAAAAGGGCCCTATTCATTGTCATTCATCCTGCTAATTTCCTTATAGTGACTCCAAAGCTCACTGAACTTGCAGGTTACCCTGTACAATATGCTAAGCCAGCAAAAAAAAACAACCCATCAAAAAGTGGACAGTTTTTTGTTGAGTTAGTGAATACAGTTGACTTAGTTAAAGGGCTTAACTGCCATCAGAATTGTCAAAAATGAGAAGGGGAACATGGAAGTAGGTAGAGCTGGTGAGAGAGAAAAGGAAAAGTGAGATCTCTTACTGGCCTCCATCCAGTGGCAGAGCGATCAGCTTAGCTGCTCACAAAACCACAAACTGTGGTTTCTAGGGTAAATATAGCAGTGACACAAATGTGGGGTAATTACATACTGAATACAGTTTGCACATTAGCACGTAGAAATTATAATCTGTGTAACTTTGGACTCTTTCAATTTATAGTAACTTTTTGAAATTTTGTTTGTTTTACAAAGGGTTGAAAGAAATTCCTAGTAGCAAAATCAACTTGAAAAAGGTATTTGAAGCTGAAGGATAGACTTCTTCAGCTTTATATATCCATTAGATGCGTTTTGTCTTCAATCTTTATTCTTTTAATCTGTAAGAAATTGTAGTTGCTTGAGTCAGTTGAGTAGCAGACCAACAACTGACTGCATGTACATAGACATGTATGAATGTGTACACATACACATTCTTCTTCAATATGTAGTATGACTTTAAATATGCATTTGAAAAGTCTACCAGTATCAGTAATGACCATGCAGATTTATTAACTGGGTTATAATAATTATGTTGAATTTAGAGCTGGACTGTTAGCAGTAGTGAGTCAACAGTGAATTCAGATCCCCACAAAATGCCTGTGGGGAGTTTGTTGAAATAAGTTTTTTATCAGTATTTTCAATGGTGTTTTCCAGCCTGATGTTCTTCCAAAGCAGCTTTCTTGCACATTTGAGGGAAGGGTTCTTATTAATGAAAACGGTAATCTGGTGTCAAAAATATGATGTTCAGTGCTTGTAAATAATACTGATTATTAATGACCTTTTTGGGTGTGGGTTTTGTTTTTTTGTTTGTTTGTTTATTTGTTTGTTTGGTTTTTTTTCTTTTTTCCTTTTTTTTTTTTTGGTTTGTTTTTTTGTTTTGTTTTGTTTGGGGTTTTTTTTGTTTGTTTTGTTTTTGTTTTTTTAATTTTAGATTCAGCAATTGGAGGTGCTGCTGCTTCAAATTATGCAAATTCCACTTGGGGTCCTGGAGCCTCCTCCAACAGCGGCACCAACGCCAACCCAACTCACATCTGGGACAAGGTGATTGTAGACGGGTCTGACATGGAAGAGTGGCCTTGTATTGCCAGCAAAGATGCTGAGTCTTCTTCCGAAAACACCACCGATAACAACAGTGCCTCGAACCCTGGCTTGGAGAAGAACGCTCTGCCAGGAAGCACCACTAGTAACAAAGGAAAAGGAAGCCAGTGCCAGTCTGGAAGCGCTGGAAACGAATGTAATCTTGGGGCCTGGAAATCTGATCCCAAGGCTAAATCTGTTCAATCTTCCAACCCTGCTGCCGAGAGTAACAATGGACTAAGTAATTGGAGGAACTTGAGTGGACAAGATAGAATCGGTCCCGGTTCTGGCTTCAGCAACTTTAACCCAAATAGCAACCCGTCTGCTTGGCCGGCACTGGTTCAAGAGGGCAATTCTAGGAAAGGGACTTTGGAATCTGATAGTGGTAGCTCCAATGCACAGATTAGCACAGTAGGTCAGACCTCTAGGGAACAGCAGTCAAAGATGGAAAATGCGGGTGTTAACTTTGTCTCTGGCAGAGAACAGGCTCAAATTCATAACACTGATGGACCAAAAAATGGAAACACTAACTCCTTGAACTTAAGTTCACCAAACCCTATGGAGAATAAGGGAATGCCCTTTGAAATGGGCTTGGGGAACCCTTCCAGGAGCACTGACACCCCTTCACAAAGCACTGGAGAAAGAAAGACTGGGAGTGTTGGGTCTTGGGGTACAGCTAGGGGGTCTTCTGGAACTGACACAGTCTCTGGACAGAGCAATTCTGGAAACCATGGGAACAATGGAAAGGATAGAGAGGACTCCTGGAAAGGAGCTTCTGTTCAAAAACCTAATGGGTCAAGAGGTGATTCTTGGGATAATAATAACCGGTCTACGGGTGGTGGGTCTTGGAACTTTGGCCCTCAGCATGCAAACGAAAGCAAATGGGGTGAAGGGAACAAATTAACATCTGGGGTCTCTCAGGGAGAATGGAAACAGCTGTCTGGGTCTGATGAACTGAAGATTGGAGAATGGAGTGGTCCAAACCAACCAAATTCTAGCACTGGAGCATGGGACAATCAAAAAGGCCACCCTCTTCCTGAAAACCAAGGCAATTCCCAGGCTCCCTGTTGGGGAAGATCTTCCAGCTCTGCAGGAAGTGAGGTTGGAGGTCAAAGCACTGGAAGCAACCACAAAGCAGGAAGTAGTGACAGTCACAATTCTGGACGCCGATCATATAGGCCTACGCATCCTGATTGCCAGGCAGTCTTGCAGACTTTGCTGAGCAGGACTGATTTGGACCCCCGAGTGCTTTCAAATACCGGCTGGGGCCAAACTCAAATTAAGCAAGATACCGTGTGGGATATTGAAGAGATGCCACGGCCCGAGGGGAAGTCTGATAAAGGAACTGAGGGGTGGGAGAGCTCTGCCACACAGACAAAGAACTCAGGGGGCTGGGGCGATGTACCCAGCCAAAGCAATCAAATCAAGTCTGCATGGGGTGAGCTCTCAACCCCAACGGAGTGGAAGGACCCCAAAAATAGTGGAGGATGGAATGACTATAAGAACCCCAATTCTTCTAATTGGGGAGGGGGAAGAGCAGAAGAAAAATCATCTTCCTCTTGGAATGATAGCTCTAGTAAGGATCAGGGGTGGGGTGGACGGCAACCTAATCAAGGATGGTCTTCTGGAAAGAACGGTTGGGGAGAGGAAGTTGACCAAACAAAAAACAGCAACTGGGAAAGTGCAGGAAATAAGCCAGTGTCTGGTTGGGGTGAAGGTGGGCAAAACGAGATTGGAACTTGGGGTAATGGTGCAAATACAAGCGCTGCTTCAAAGGGTGGATGGGATGATTGTAAAAGAACTTCAACATGGAATGAGACGGGTCGACAGCCCAACTCCTGGAACAAGCAGCAGCAGCAGCAGCACCAGCAGCAGCAACAGCAGGAGGGTTCTGGTTCCTGGGGTCCACCGCCCCAAACTCCAAGTAATGGGCGACCTCCAAACCCAAACTGGAACAGCGGACCACAGCCAGCTGCCCCCAAAGAGGAGGAGCCTAGCGGCTGGGAAGAACCTTCTCCACAGTCAATCAGTCGAAAAATGGATATTGATGATGGCACTTCAGCATGGGGAGATCCTAGCAGTTATAACTACAAAAATGTGAACCTGTGGGACAAGAACTCACAAGGAGGACAGGCCCCACGGGAGCAGAGCCTGCCTACTCCAATGACTAGCAAATCACAAGCATCAGGTACTAGTCTCATTGCTTTCTTCAGCAAGCTCCTATGTATGAGTGTAACTTTAATGTAGACGAGAGATTCGTGTAGCCTCCAGTTCCTAATAGTTTTATTCCATAAAGAAAACCAATTTCTTATTTGAATATTTGGTTATGTATTTAAAGTGTCTTTAAATTTTGAATCAATCAGTCCTCTGCTTGTTGTACCTCAGTAACTGTGATTTGAATACTAGTCAGTTTGCCAGTAGAAGAAAACATTTGTTAGCTGACAGATCTGCATATTCAATCTGAGCTCTGAAGAACAGGTTGAATTATAGAATCCGTAGAACCATGTAGGTTGGAAAAAACCCTTTAAGATCATTGAGTCCAACCGTAAACCTAGCACTGCCAAGTCCACCACTAAACCGTGTCCTGAGGCACCACATCTACGTGTCTGTTAAATACCTCCAGGGATGGTTACTCTGCTGCTTCCTTGGGAAGCCTGTTCCAAAGTATAGTAACCCTTTCGGTGAAGAAATTTTTCCTAATATCCAATTTAAACCTCCTGTGGTGCAGCCTGAGGCTATTTCTTCTTGTCCTGTCTCTTGTTACTTGGGAGTAGAGACCGAAACCCACTTTGCTGCAACCTCCTTTCAGGTGGTTGTAGAGAGCAATAAGATCTACCCTGAGCCTCATTTTCTCTGGACTAAATCACATTTTTTTATATTTAATTATTAGAGAAATGTGGAGAGATTCTTCTTTTTAGTCAAAAACTTTTTGGTCTGAAATACTCAGTTAACACTTGAGATTGAGCCGGTCTGATTTAGTTTTTTAGCTCAGTTTGGCTGTGCTGTATGATAAAGAATACTTAGCAAAATATTTTCTTAACTTTTTTTTTAAGTTACATAGCCTATAAAAATATATTAAGATATTGTTATGTAATCTCTGACTCAAACATGCTATGAAGAATACTATTTTGTTTTAATATGTACTTCAAATATGTCCTTATTTTTTCTTCAGTATATGAAAATCCTGAGTTAATCTGGTGCTTTTAGTTAGTCACAAAAGTTCACCAGATAGGAGGGCAGCATTAGATGCGGGGTTCATTTTTAACCTGGCAGATTAATACTACTCATCATAGCATCGTCTTCCTTTTCATCCCTGGAGGTCAGTGCCCGCTCTGAGTTCGATGTGAACAGTTGTCAATTCTGTTGCACCCACGTTACTGGGAACCTAAAGTCCTCAACAGAAAGAATAAAGCAGTAGATTAATGACGTGGTGCTGCATTGCGATAAATAGTTCGTTGTCTAAATGGTCTGTAATGAAAACTCTTTCTCCTTTGCGCAGTCTGGAGCAAAAGCACTCCACCTGCTCCAGATAATGGTACGTCCGCCTGGGGTGAGCCAAATGAAACCAGTCCCGGGTGGGGTGAAGTAGATGATACAGGAGCATCGACAACAGGCTGGGGGAATGCACCTTCCAACGCCCCGAATGCCATGAAATCTAGTGAGTATAGGCCAGATACCAGTTTCTTTACAATGGTCCTGGAGATTTTTAGTGTTTGGCCTTTTGATATAGGTCACCCCACACAGGAATTCTTACCTGAGGCCTAGAAGTGATGTTGAATGTCATGTAAGATTTTGATGGATGAATGATTAAGTGCTTTCAAATTACTGGAGCTTTGTCTTTTAAGGTAATGAAAAATTTCTTAACTAAGCAATTAAATGAGCAGCTCTGATCTGTGGAAGTGTTGAAACATTAGAGCATCTGAATGAGGAAATAGCTGTCTTTTTCTCAAAATGGCTTTTATTCCTAGAGTGCCCAGTTGTTACTTAGCATATGAACTTGTTATATGATAAATCACTTTTCCTGATCATATCAGAAAAAGGAATGCACAGTACAGACAAATGTCACTGTGGAGGCCATTACATGGTGATCTCTGCTTTGTTAATGCAACTTGCCTTTGAATGGATTTTTTTTTTTTTTTAATTGTACAATCATGCAAAATTGTAACTCTTAAGAACTGCACTTTCTTTTGTGGTTGAACCTAAATGGATGACTATTTTCTGGATATTACCTGCTGTGTTCTTCACGAATCAGATGTTGAAATCTTTTAAAAATTTACTTTGAAGTTAAAATTTTGCTGTATTAAGAGGTTTATTTTTGTGAAAATTATTCCTGCTGGTGTAAACTGTCTGTGGAATTTTTATGTCACTTTTTAAAATGACAATACAACAAACAAAAGCAGTCACCTAGTGATACAACCTAACAGTGTTATAGTCAAAGCCAGTAACATTTGGCCATGAAGTTTCCCATAGGAAATACCGGTAATACATGACTGTCACTAAACTTTACTGATGACACCCCCTGTAAAACTGTTCCCAGTTACAAGTTGCTTTTGCAACACTTAATTGTTTGGAATGAAATGCTCTATACAGATAGTATGCTGTTGGGTCATTCTCCCTTCCTCCCACCCTAATTAAATAGTTTGGCCATTTATGAAACAAAACTGAGGAAAAAAAGCATTGCTTCCTTACTGTTAACATTATAAGAACCTTTCATGGATGGCTGTAGTGCTTCCTGTGCCTGCCATACAAACTTTGCACTTTTCAGGATGCTAGCCTATTTTTCAGATGGATCTCTTCTTTCCTCTGTAAAAAGCCACCTAAATATGACCAAAATAAGAGACACTGAAATGCTAATGATCTGCTGCAAATTCTATGCATTTGTTATTAAGATACTACTTAAAGATTACGCAGCATCGCTTGCTTGTCCAAACGTGTGACATAACCAGAGAGGTGCAGCATACATGCACTATTCTGCACATAAGCTGTCCCCAGCTCTAGAGGAGCAAAATACAGGGAGTTTCCCTGTGACAGCTGTTTCAGGTTGGGGTGTAGTAGGTCACCAGTGTTAAGAGCTGAGATCTTCATTCTCCTGTGTCCTGTGACTGCTCTCTCAACTGCTTTCTAATTGGCACCCAGAAGGAAAGAAGAAAGCTACATTATTCAGTGGAGTAAGGGGAAGTACTTAATGTCTTGGATAAATTAGAAGAAGAAGTTGGGACAAAGAGCCTGCAAAGGCATAATTTGTGGTTGAAGGTAAGGACAGGAAACAGAGACTAGCAATGATTGGTAAAGAAAACAAGAGTTTAGAGCCAAAGAAGGGAAGCATAGATAATTACCCCCCTGTTTAAAAAAGATATGAATTTACATAATTTTACCAGCATTGCACAGGAGTTCTCTGGCAAAAGTAGGAACAAATTCAGTTTTCTGTAACATCATTATTTTGTCTTTATCTTTAAAGTTTCCTTTGCTTACTGTAGCTATTTGTCCATTCTCACTCAACAAATGTGAAATGATACAGGAATCCTACAGACATGTCACCTTTACACCACTGTCTAGATTCATGTTCAGGAATCTCAGACCTGAGAGCTGTTATTGCAGAAAAATAATCTATGGTCATGTAGTTAAAACCAGGATCATAGTACTAGTTTTAAACACTGTGGCAGGAAATAAACCTGCAGGGACTACCCCATATATGACATTTCCAGATGAAGTTCTTGACTCAGAAGTCATAATCCTTAAATGTAGCTTTTTCTGTGTAAGTAGCATGATTAAAGGGTCAAGAGGTAGATTTTGCACTTGGACCAGTATGTTTCTTAAGCAGCCCTCAATTTTGGTGCACAAATGAATATACTTTAAAAAGTTACATTTCCGGTGAAGTATCTGGGTTGTTGTTTGTGATGGGTTTTAAGGTAGCTCTTAAACTGCCATGAAATGCTACTGTACTTATTTTTGGCATGATCAAGGTAGAGTTCCCCTTGATAGACTAATTATGGTTCCTGACTTCTTTTATATTCATATTTTCTGCTATGTGTGTTAATACCCTTATCCCTGATTTCCACACACAAACCCCAAACAATTGAAGAATTAGTTATGAAAAAGGTGGTGATGATGGAAATCTTTTTTTAAAGGAGATTATGCTTAGGTAATAAATATGCAGGATGAAGAATCAGCAGGAAGGAGAACAGTTGGACAGTGGACAAGATGAGGATTTGGGCTCTTGTTGGCTTGTCCGTAGAGGTTAGAATTCTGAGTCGCCTGACAGCTGGTGCTAGAGAGTAACATCAAGAAAAGAAGCCAACAGGGAAAGTCCTTAGTCTGAACTGATACGATGAAACGGTTGTAGCTTTCTGGTAATGGCATCTCTACTTAAACAGCACTGCTAATTCTTTATAGTGACATCATTAAGAACAGAAATTCAAGTAGAGGGGTTCTTGACACATTAAACTACTTCTGGTGTTACATATACCAGAGCATAATGTCAGGTCTTCTTCAGATTCTACTTAGTTGTTATTCCTTAAAGATCTTTGTTTCTGTAATTTGGGTAAAGAGTTTAGTACAAGGGAACCATTAAGGCTTTGAAGGAGGGGGAAATAATAAACCACCTGAACAAGAGTCCTCAGCACTCTTGTTTAAGTGTCCTTGAGGTCTTTCATTTGCACTAGAAAATAATAGGTTGCATTTTTTAAAAAATCCAGATGCAGCTGTATCTGATCAGAGAAGAGGTCCCAGTGGTTATTGTATTTTTAAGCATTTGACATTGCTTTAAAATTGTTAAAAAACATGACATGCTAATATGCCACCAAATCTTTTGGGTTTGAGGATTCACATACAAGTTTACAGCTGTTAGAGTGAAGACACTTTTTTTTTTAAACTCCTTTGGAGTTCTGGTGATTTGACACTGCAAGATTAGCTGAGGCCACCACCTGCATGATATTATAGACTGCTTTTGAGCTTTTTTTCTTTTTCTAAAGGTTCTAAATCTATGCAAGATGGCTGGGGAGAGAGTGATGGGCCAGTGACAGGAACACGTCATTCCAGCTGGGAAGAGGAAGAGGAGGGAGGAGTCTGGAACACAGCAGGCTCTCAGGGAAGCAGTTCCTCCCACAACTCAACAAGCTGGGGGCAAGGAGGAAAGAAAACACAAATGAAGGTAAAATGCTTGAATGATTCATAACTACTGTGTTGTCTGAAAGCAGTATGACTGATAGGTTAGAGCATTATAATAGTTCTTTTTTTAAAAAGGTATTCCATAATTCAGCTAGCAAGGGGCCTGTTTCAACACTGTAAAAAATGTGAGGTTTCTGGATTTGTTTTAATGTATTACACCTGTTGTGACTAATAAATCTGCCAGTAGGTGTCAAATTCTTCTGGTATGTAGGCTGCAGAGCTATTACTAAATGAAACTGAGCAGTAAGTATCCCAAGGCTATTGCTCTTCTCTTGACACATCTTTTTGTGTTAGGCTGCTGCTGTTCTCCTTGCATGTCCTGCTGAAATTTGGATTCCACGGTCCCTTTGGCACATGCATTTCTTATTTCTACTGACTGGTGGATTTAGGTCCGACTTGTGTTTGTTGTTACTGACCTTTGGCCTGAAACAGGAGCAGGAGCTTGGCTATAGTCCTGAGTAAATTGCTTTCTGAGGCTTGTTTGCATTAAAGTTCTGTAGTACAGTAACACTTGGTACTGTATTTATATTAGAAGGATTATGCTTTGTCTACTTCTAATCATATGGGTAGGGCAAACTCAAAACATAAGTGCAGAGCAGCTTCCTAGGATGTGGAAATACTGTTGTGATATAGTATGGAGTTCTACAGTTCCTATTTTGCAAAAAATATTCTCATGAACTTTTTTCTCACTTAAAGCTTTTTTTATTTTAACCGCCAAAGAAACTGTCCATAAATTTTTCTTTTCTGTTGAACTGTGCTCAGTTTTGGTTTTGATCACCTGTAAATTACAGTAAGGCCATATTGAAAGCCAGGTCAGCACAGCGCCCGTGTAAGAGAAACCATACTGAAGGGAAGAAAACCAAGGAAGAAATCTACCTCTGTATGTTGTGGATTAAATGTGTGAATGTATTAAACTGTAACAGAGGAAAAATAAATAATATTCACAAAGTTTTCCAGATTCCAGAATGAAACTGAAGAAGGTATGATAAATATTCTACACAGCAAGTGTTTGTCAAGTTCGGTATACCTAACAATGAACAATTTTATGAGAGAGAAAATAAGAAAATAGTATTTGGTAAATGTTTCCAACCACACAAAAAATTAATGTAATTTATTCAGGAAATTAATTTCTCTGATGCCAGGATTTTCTTTTAACACCTGCGTAACTCAAGGATAAAGCTGAATTTAAGAAATCAAGAAGTTGCTTAAAAATAATTTTGTCTTTTTTTTATTTGTCCTCTTCAGTGCACATTAAAAGGGGGAAATAGTGATTCGTGGATGAACCCTTTATCCAAACAGTTTTCAAATATGGGCTTGCTAGTAAGTAAATTTTTTAAAATTTGAAATCCAACTTTGTTAAAAAGCAGTAAGCTTTAAATAAGTCAAAAGATCAGCTGTTTCACAGTGTATAAGTACTTAATTTATCTGCATTTGCTATGCTTGCATGTTGATTATGTTACCTGTAATATCTGGGTATTCAGCTTTTCCTTGCTAGTTAGAATGGCTTCTCAGGAGAATCCAAAATCTACTTTGATTCTTCAAAGACACTTTGACAGCTTTTGTTCTGAGATTGCAATTTCCTTGTAAGTAATAGGATTTGGGGATTTTGGTCTTACTTATTTTCATAATATGCTGTTAAGAGCATTCAAGGTAGAGGCCTTAGCTTCTGGCTGTAGTGTCAGACCTCTGTGATTAGTCCAAGGCTATTCATTCTGAATCTCAGCTACCTATCAGAAAAGGAGATCTACAGCCCTTCGTCTGCCTTGGCTATTTATATTTTAAATACTGTCTTTTTGGAGAAAAAAGGGCTTGTTATTAATCTGTACTTAAAGATTGATTGGTAAAGTGAATAAATAAATGACATATCATGGAGAGAAAAGACAGGTCTGCAATAAATTAATTACATAAAATAATTTATACAAAAAAGAATTACACATTTTTTTAAAGAACTTCTGACATGCTGATTTGTAAAACATTTTACAGAATATTGTGCCAACTGTTATCCTATAAAGCAGGAATAGTATGTAATGCAGGCGAGCAAAAGATAATAATGCAGAGGTTCTATGAGAAGCCAAGGGCTGAACAAACTGTCACTGACAGGACTAGGATTAGTTTGCAAAGTCTCTTGGCTCCCAAGCGCAAATTCAGTCTGCTAGACTGTAGATGCTTCTGAAAGCTATGGGAACACCCTGTCCCAGACTGCCAACTAAAGAATAACTTGGCAGCACATTTCAAGATTTGATGACTTTGACAGGTCATGAGGATGAGCTATCATTTTGGCCACTATTTTCAGTGTTTCATCTCTCAACCAGTGGAACATGAGGACAGAGGTTCATTTCACAGAGCAGCTGTCTATCCATCTTTCTCTGTCTGTTGGATGCATTCATGTGTCTGGTTTCATATGGGTAAACTTGCCACACGCAGCATTAGGGGGTTGAGGTGAGATGTGTCCAGGATGGTATCAGGAATCCTTGTGTTTGATTTTAGTTTAAAATAAAACTTTGTCACAGGTATGTCCTTCCTTCATTCTTCCTTTAACCATCAAGGGCTGCTTTCTGAAACATTCCTCAGCATTTCATAGAAGTCAGAACTGAATTTTTTTTTTTTTTCCAGAGTCAAACCGAGGACATTCCAGGCAGTAAGATGGACTTGTCTGTAGGTGCGTATAATTTAATTTAAATGCATTTGAAATACGAGATTGTGTGTAGTATTTTTATGTGGATGACATGCTGTACTTTGGAAAGGTTTGATCCTCACTTTTAGCACTCCTCATAATAGAAGGATAGAATTAGAGCATCCAATATCTTATCTGTAGGCTTTGAATAGCTACACAGCTGATGCTGGTATGTAAGATTGGGATGTATATCTGTACAGAACGAGGCTGTAACTTGTGTAAGGGACATCCTGTAAGACTGTTTTGATCCATGTAGTTTGCATTCATTGTTACTGTTTCAAGAAGGTGAGTGAAGATCTCTTTTCATTTGGTGGAAGAGGAGAATTGTTTTAGCTCTTGGCAGTACGACATGCCAATTACTACAGCTCCCTGGAGGTGATGTGAGGGAAAAGTTTATCTTCTATCATTGATTTCTTCAGTTGCTTGCCTCAGGCTATTACAAGTTACTGCTCAGTAGAGCTAGATTTTTCACTCTTGATAGCCTCACCACAAATACTACACAGCTTAAGCAGGATGGGCAGTGTGGAAAACATTATCCTAAACAGGAGTTAGAATTGACCACTTGGATTAATCCCATTTTAATCACCTTTGAATTCGACATGACTTTCTTTGGCAAACTTAAGTAGTGAACTCTAACAGAAATTATTTTTTTTATGTTGAAATCAGATTTAGTTTTGCATTCTGTTTTTTTCCAAATTGTCTCTGAATATGCACTGTTGTGGCATTGCAGTAGAAATACCACAGGTTTCTGAAATCTGCCATTTCAGATGGCTTCCCTACAAGATTCTTAAGCTACATATTAAAAAAGAGATGATCCAAATCTGCTGTTCTGGTTGTTTATTTTATTTGTTATCAAGTCTTTGAAGGCTTAGTAAGGCTAAAGACTTGTACAGGATAGTCTTTGATACTTAGAAGGGGGAAGAGGGTTTCATTCCTGTTCTAGGACTACTTCAGTTTTTGATTCTTCAAAATCTACAGAAGCAGGAAGATCACCTCATATCCCTGGCTACAAAGACAGATCTTCTACTCCACCTAAAGGATATCGCCACTGTACAGACCCAACAATAATTTTGGAAAGAGGTGTTCATCCTATTTCTGTAACTGTCAGAAATGTCACAGAGGCTTCAGATTCCTCCCAATTACAAGCCAGAGTTCTGTAATTCTTACTCCAAAGGATGATACGTCAAAGTAGTAGTTGTATTCTCAGCTGTTATCTAGAACAGTGAATTTCTTGTGTAGATGAGGTATACCCTGAGCACTCCAGAGAAGTGTATATGTAGTGGTTCTGCATCTGGAAGGGGTCCCTGTATCAGTGCAGATCAAGTTTGTGGTGTAGGTGTGGACACACTGATTCTGAGTCTCATGTGGTTATCACTGAGACCCGCAGTATGGCTCTTACACAGTAACTATTTTACTGATTTCATGTTTAAAAATGATCTAGTACCAAGCTGTTTATTTCCAACTACTTCTGCATTAGAGCAGAAGTTTCTACTTCAGCTGAAACACAGATACACACAGACACAGGGTGCAGCTGAAAGGACAGAAGGGACTTGGTAAGAAGGGGAGGGCTGGCTGGAGGAGGTGACTGGCTTGGAATCAGTGCTTGCTCTGCTGTGGTTCTAAATTTCCTGTGGGAGATTGTGAATTGAATTAATTACTCATAATCCTGTGGTGATATCTCTGAAGAGCCACCCGCCAAAGTCGTTCTGCTTCATGTCACAGTCTGTGGGGTCTCTAGATCAACTAAAATTGGTGGGTACAGGGCAAGTACAGTTAGTTTCAAAATACCTTCTGAAAGTCATTGCTGTACGTTAGAATAGTGTGGGATCTGTGATGCAAGTTGGCTGTATCCAACATCAAGGATAGAATCTATTTACTTCTGAGATATTACCTGCCAAAGAAGTTACAGTGTGCAGGTCTATGGCTGACTGTGTTGTAAACATGCAGTAATCTCACCTTCCAGCATCATGTACGTCTACAGTTTGGTACATTGGATCCTGACTGTGGCAACTTTTTGTTTGTTTCATTGCCCAATTTATTTTTCTTTCCTCCCTCCCCCCAGCATCTAAACATCAAAATAATGACAGTAGGGAAGAACATAGTGGCCCGAGTTGTTTGTTCAACTCCCATTTTTACAGATGTCAAGACAGTTGACTGATATGATGCATTCTGCCTCACCCCAAAAAGTAATCCAGTAGTAGGTACTGCTTTCCTCTAAAGTGTCCTCTATCCTAGTGGTACAATGGCCATATGATTGAAATTGAACCTATACTGAAAGAGCTTCTGGTATCAGTGGAAAACTAGATAGCACAAGTTCAAACCCCACAAACGCAAGCAGTGTAACTTAGAGACTACAAGAGGCAGTTCTTCTGACACTGGCTGTTGTGCTATAATTGCAGTTTCTGTGACATTCTGATTCTGCCATAAATCTGTACCTTTCTAGTATTCTTGATGATGATATTCCAATACTGTGCCTTGCAAGAAGTCTACTCATGTTGACCCTTTTTGCATCAGTGCTGTCACCAGCTTTAGTACTTCCTCATCTGTCACTGTTGCAGCATCACATGATGCTGTAGTCAGGATTTTCCCAACCAGAAAAACTTTTTTTATTGGGAGTACCTGTTAACCTTTGTTGGTACCAAAGGTACCAAAAGAGTTGTGGTAGTCAAGACTTATTTGCATCTAATATCAACTCCAGATTTAGTGTTCTAATGCACGCCAAATAGCTGCAGTGTCTATCAGTTTAGAATCCATTACATTTCTAAAAAGTGTATCACAGTTCATACAGGATTAAGTAGTTAATTGTAGCCAGAATTGCTTTCTTCCTCTGAATAGTTAAGGATCCCAGTAAAAGATGTTAAAGCATGTATTTGTGTACTATAGCACAGTTCTGGGGAAGGTAACAGAATTTTTGGATCTCTCCAATTTGACGTCATACAGCCTCTCTAGAACTCAGGCTCTGACTGTATCATGCTTCTCTAAAGATCTAGATGGAGATAAGTTGTCTTCTTGGATCTGCCTTCAGCTGCTGCTGTTAAAGAACAGATCTAAGAAACATAAAAATAAAGAGCGTGGTAACCTGGATTATGCTGGTTATAGCTCTGTTAGGTTTTTTTTATCTCCACATTAAGCTGTTGGATCCTTTAGAACTTCCTGCTGTTGAGGACCTTAAGGCCATCAAACCTTCTGAGGAAAGATGGCTTATGCTCAGAATATCCTGTGAAATGATGCAGAAAGGTTCCATGCTTAATCTTGATACATTGTACTTCTGTGAGTTCAGTATGCCCATTAATGGTGGCATCCTTGATCCTAGGTGGAGGCATTTATTGTAGTTTGTATTATGTTTCAAAGAGAAAATGTAACAGATGTTCTTGAGGCTTTTGTGTTACTTCTCTGCGCTGTTTTGCTCATCCTGTATCTACTTCTGAACTTTAAAAGTTGGACTTAATGAGGTAGGCTTGTTCTGCAACTGGTTTTCAGTCAGGATTACAACATACCAGGTTTTCCTAACTAGATAACTCCCACCGTGATATTTTCCCACTTTATGGATAAATGCACATTGATGTTGAAGTTAAATCTGTGCTTGGAGACCACACATACCAAAGAAAACTTTGGCTCTGGTCATCATGCATCATAAAATAGGTCCAGTTGTGAGTAAGTAATTCTGACTACATTGGTCTCAGTCTCCTTGTTTGAAAAATGTGTTGCTTTTATTTACTGACCAAGACAGAAAAGAGATGGATTAATAGCATACCTGAGGCAGATCTACTTCCTCTTTTTTTTTTTTTAATTTTTCTATCAAATCCCTTTAATGGATAGCTTGTTTTACTTTAAAAATAGGATACAACTTTTTTCCATTGAAATCTCTCCTACCATGTATATGCCACGACATGAAGTTTGCTACAGTAAGTAGCTTGTCAGAACCACTTAGTATTTTATCTTTTCCACCCTTCTGTTTGACCACCACCTGTGTTGTTTGTTTGTTTGTTTTTTTTTTTTTAATGTGTTAATTGCAACCTCTGCAGATCACTGAATTCCTAAATCACCTGTAAAGACTGGGAAATTAATTTCCAATTTTTGTTGATTCAGATGCAATTCATGCAGCTGTCCATTGTAAATATGTTACAAAGCTATAACCTGATTTAGCATTCAGGTGTAACACCTCGATATCTTAAGCATATGTGCTTGCTCAGTAGGCTTGGATGTTGTAAATTTACAGCAAAGCTATAAACCCGGTATCTTTAAAATTACTCATTTTTTGTGGTCAAGCAGAAAACATGTTTCAAATTTGTTCATTGGTTGGGGGTTTTTTCCATTTGGGTTATCCCACTGGATGTATGTATTTTCACCACATTGAGATTCTGGTTTGCAAATGTTTTAAATAACTTTGTCCAACAGCGGTTCTTGTCTCCTATCTCCCCGTACATGATCACATTATATACTATTTTGTATATAATTCCTTTTATTTCTTTTTTCTTTTAAGCTGTGTGCATGTGATGGGGGAGATCTTACTTTAATGTGTTTTCTTTTTTTCCCTCACTAGGGCATGAATGTCATCTTCCAAGCTCTTGTTTCATTTTCCATTTTTCACAGTGTTTCTCCTAGCTGTTAATAGTGGGGGGAAAATCCAAGAACTGGTGGAGTGTCTTCTTTTATTAAGATGGTTGGACTTTTAACCTGCTCTACGTTTCTGTATGTGGAGGGTGTGGGGCTTTGTATTTATTCATGCGCAAGTGTTTTCACCTACTGCAGAGGGTAAAATTAAAACTTTTTGGATTTTAACAATCGTCTATGTAAGGTAAAGCTAGTCTTCAGCCACCTGCATTATTTATAGCTTTTGTTGGCAAGTGCAAAAGACAAACTCACATGACAGGTTTCAAGGATGCATTAGAATTTTCTATGAATGGGATAAATGAATGTTATCATCTCTCTTAGCAAGGCCTTGTATATACAGAGGTTTAAGCTTCCTCAACATTAAGTGGCATGCATATCTGTGCTTGAAACCTTTAAAGGTGATATTTAATGCGCTACGTGTTACTTAACAAGCCATCATTCAATAATATTTGAAGAGTTGATTGGATCATCAGGATAACTGAAGGGACAAAAGGGTGTTTCTGCGGCTTAGTCACGTTGTGTTGGCATTGACCCAACTGCATTTCAGATAGTGATGCAACTCTGTCTTGCTTTCAGTTTCTTTTCAAGCAACTAACGGACAGGGCTTCCTGTCTAGAATTAAAGATCACAGACCTTTTGGTAGTGCATTGCTGGCACTGTGTGTAGTGGTTAGATGTAGGTATTGACAGGATTGAGATGTATGTGACTGCTTTTGCAGAGCCAGTTCTAGCTTTTTAGGGTATGTCAGAAAGGGATGAGCTCATCCAGGTCAGTATGACTCCAGTTACAAGCCAAGATATGTAGGTGACTTGTCAAGTGTTTTTGTGATAAGTGATGTTGAATGCATCTGAGACGATGAAGCTGGATCAACTTTGAAAGCTCTGCTGGCAAGAAAACCCCATGTAATTAGTGGTGGATTTCATAGGTTCTTGGCAATAACGTACCTATGAATATTAATAGTTTGTGATTGCACATTAAGAAGAGATGCTGACTTTGAGAAGCTTTTTTGAGGAATGGGTAAGTGTTTTGAAGGTATTGGAGTGATTAGCTGTCTGCTCTGTTTGATAAAGGCTTAGTGTTTTGTCAGTGGTAGGTCAAGATATCTGTCACCAGCTTCCTTTGAAAGAATCATAGATTTTGGTTAACTGTGGTGACAGGTTTTTTAAACTGTTCTTGGAAAGGCCATCTGTGCTACTAAATGAAATTATTTAAAACTAAAAATACTGGCAAAGCTCATTTTTATCACGCTGTCCATATTTTAAAACAAAGATGTTCTCCAAGTACTTCCAACATAACAATATGCAGCTGATACCTTGCAGGTGCCAAATATGACCAAAAAAAAGCATTCCTTGGCAGCAGTTTGGTGTGTAAGGTAGAAAACTTCCTTCAGATAGCACTTGGCTGATGTTAAGCTTATGGGGAAAGATGATGTCTTGTTCGTTGTGTATGTTGCAGTTTGATCATCTGTTATTAACATCCATTCCTCATGTTCCACCACATTAGTCACTAAACAATGGCAGGAGGCTGCAGGGGATGTTTGAGAAGCGCCTCTCGTACTGGTTGTGTAATCACTGCATACAGGCTGAGGGAGGTTGGTTGCTTCTCTGGAAGTTTCACTACACCAGATGATCTGTGGTGTTCAGGAGTTAAGTTCACATGACTGTAGAAGACTCGTACTCAAATTATGTGCATGGTTTTGCAGTTTGAGGAATTCTTTCTCAGTGCCAAACCCAATAGAGGCTATGCAGAATATACAGAGAACCTAAATAGCAGTGTCTCTATAGATACTGAATACCAATAGATAACAGTGTGAGTTTTGGAAGACATTGAGAATTACTTATAAATGAATATCACCGTTTGAACTAGGCTGCTGTAGAAATGCATATGTTTATATCGGTACATAAATTGTGAGAAATACTTCATATTAAACTTTCTAAACTACATTGGCTTGTTCAGTCTTAAAAATGAAACTTCCTACTTTAATTTTTCAACACTTTTAATATCAGCTGTGGCTATGCTAAATTAAGACAGATGTCATTTATGCCCTGATCTTAAAGATACCTTCTTTAGCTGTGAACCTGCTGTCATGAAACATGGTAGAGATTATTGGCACTAATTCAGTCTTATTTCTTCTTTTTTTTTACAGGTGGTCTCCCAGATAAGAAGTTTGAGGTAGATAAACGAGCCATGAATCTCGGGGACTTTAATGACATGATGAGAAAGGATCGATCTGGGTTCCGTCCACCTAATTCCAAAGACATGGGAACCACAGATAGCGGGCCTTATTTTGAGAAGGTGAGAGAAATATCTTCAGATAATTAACATTAACCTCTGTGTTCAAGGTCTCAATTTTTACCCTACTCCTCTGGAGGTGCTGAAAATTCAGTAACCTTGGACAAGCTCAATAATAAAAGGTGTGGGGGGAGTTGTGTTTGTAGAACGAATGTGTATATAAACCAGAGGTGTCAGATGTGTGTAGACAAACTAAATTATCTGGGGAGCATGAGGCTTTTTATTCTAGAACAGTCGGCTGTTAATATGGACGGAAAGAAATCTCTTTGTTTTTCTTGGAAGGGTAAACTACTGGTAGCATCGAAATTCATTATAGGTTTCATCACAGTGATTCTTTTGGCTACTGACTACAATCATCTACTGTAAACAAATTGGTTTAGATCTAAGTAAACATAAGTAATCACAGTCTTCCAAATTTTTTCTGCTTTCATGTCTGTCATTTATTGGAAACACCCTTTCTAAATTCTGCAACCCCTTATGCTGTACGTCCGTGTACTGTAAGCTTCTGTATGACATCTGTTTCTCTGTGACATCTGTTGTATGTTATGGTAGCGTTTCTTTCATATTCTTGCGTATTTTAAATAGAAGCTATCACTGTTATTAGCAAGCATTAATTGCTTCACATTATGAATTGGAAAGTGTCCAGTAGATTCAAAATGCTTTAGGGTTTATCACATGTAAAATGGAAAAGAAATTTGGTTTAAAAATCCTGAAGGCGTGTTACTGTCAATGAATTTTTTAACTCCTCCATTTTGGTATAACAGGCCAAAACCCAATTTTGTCAACTCCCTCTGGTGGCCTAATTAATAAATACCACTAGCAGAGCTAATGCATTCCTAACAAATTATGTTTGTAGGTGTGTGCTGACATTAGGAATTCATTCAAGATTTGTTTGTTTCTGTAGTGGTAATAGCCACTGTAAGAAATCAATTTCATGAGAGTTCGAAATGTACTTTTGAAAAGAAACCTTTAGGAATTTATTGATTATCTCCTTGGTCCAAAATCTTAATTGTCAAGTGATCAGTTGAGTCAGAAGTTTTGTCCTTGTAACTGCTATTACAAATTAACTTTGCTTCTTCCTAGTCACTCACCGTCCCTCTTTCTCTCCTCTTGCATTCTGTTGCTTCACTAACCAACTCCTGCTGTTGGCTAACTGCTGCTTCAGCTGACTTTGCCTTTCTCCAATCAAGATGGGTGCCTTGGGGATGAGGCTCCCTGCTCTCCCTTCTCCCCTTCTCCCAGCTACAAGCTGTCTCCCTCTGGTTCCACACTATCCAACGTCGGCCTTGGGGCAATCGGCTCAGGGCTCAGTCCCCAAAACTTCGCTGCTAGACAAGTAAGCAGGCCACCTTATAAGATGCATTGTTATAATGCTGCAACCTGGGCTTAATCCTGGTTAGTTGGTTGCTTGCATTTGTTTTCCTACTAAATTAATATTGTTAATGGAAATTTCAGCTATATCAGGACATTGAGAATCAATCCACTTTGGTTCCTACCATCAAAATGTATTCCATCTGTTTTTATTGGCCTTTTCCTGAATCACAGTGCAGCAGCAGCAGATAGATGTGCTTTTCAGAAGTCATGAAGTTAGTGGCAACTTTTACGTTTTAATTTCTGTTTTAAACACCAGGTAGAGGCTGTTGGTTTGCCCTACCACCCCCCGACACTGAATTTTTCCAGACTCCACCCAATGACCCTGTATGTAGAAATGTGCCTTTAAAAAATTGCAATAATTTTGCATTGTACATGTTCCCTTCTCCCTTCCCAACAGCCCAAAGAAAGGATTGATTTAATAGCTACGGGGGAATGGTGGGGAAGAAATAAAGTGGTTAACTGCAGTTTGGAAGAATTTCTGGCTATTACGTTTTGCATTATGCTAGAATAAAATGTTGTAGGAATACTGGGAAATGAAAGAATAGAATCTAAGTATTGCAACTAGGCTAGCTTATATAGTCACATGCCTAACATGATGGTGTTTCTTTGTGTTGTCTTCCTGTTTCTATGTGACACAATCAGTGTTGAACATTAGATTAAATTCAGAATTTGCAGGCATGTTCTTGGATTCTGTGTGCAGAACTCTGTTGAGCTTTAGGAAGAGCTGAAAGTAGCTGCAGCTTCAGGTTTCTCAAAAATTTTAATGTGTAGTTGACCCCAGTCAGTTTTTTCCAGAGTAAAAACTCCTGTTTCTTGGGGTTTTTTTCCCCGTGTGTGTAGTAGGACATCTTGAGTTACTTCAGAAAGAGAAGATGCATTAAGGAAGTGGAATGTGATACAGATGAATGAGGCAATCCATAATGCTGCCAGTATAGAAGCAGAATGAGACACTTTTGTTTTAACAAAAGGATAGTGGAGAATGCACAGTATTATGGTAGAAGGGAGGCAAAATTTATGAAATCCATTTATGTAAGAGAAGGAAGGGGTTTGGAGAAGGCATGCACAATCTCAGTTTGGAAGAACGATTAATTTATGTTGGGTACAGTGATGCTGGCATGGAGAGGGACAACAGAGAATGATAGCTGAGGGATGGAAAATGTACTGTTTAGAACCCCAAGTATCTGAGGATCATAGACATCCTGGTATACAGCAGAAGATGGGAAGTTCTGAGGATCTGGAAAACTAAAAGACAGAATCCTGGCACATAAAGACCCTTTGGAGTATGAGCTTCAGCTTTCAGAAGCAATAACATGCAACTGTTAGTGTAGGAGACTGTCCATAACATTTCCTGTGGCTTTTGTTGAAAGATTTGTTACAAATAAAGATAGTCTGCTCAGATTCTGAAATAGTGAAACATAATCACAAATTTTCTTTGGACTTTTTGGTGCAGTAGGGTTTGTTATTACACAAGTTGCTTATAAAACAGTAAATACTTCTCATTAAGAAGACTCAAACAGCAAGCATTCTTGTGTTAGAAAATAAACCACTGGGAGGCAAAAAAAAACAACTAAACAAACCAACCAAAACTGTTTTCTCACTTTAAAATTTTCCTGCTCTTCCATTTAGTGGGGAAAAAAGGAAAATAAAAACATCTCAATTCAGAATGCTGAAGTTTTCACATTAGAAGGAAAAGTTTTAATAAAATTTTTAATTAATTTTATTTATTTACTTTTATTTAATTAATTTTATTGAATTAATTTTATTTCATTTCAGTTAGTGAAAGGCCTGCAGAGGTAGTGATAGGCTCACAAGTGATCTCTCAGCAACTTACTCAAGAGTATCTGACTCTTCTGAATGATGGCCCAGAATTCTTGTTGACCCAACAAGATAATAAGCTGATAGAATGGGGTTTTGAGTGTGGTGTTTGTACTCCAAGTTTCCATTTCCCAACATGTAAAGTGCAAAATATAAAACATTAGCTTTCTCATGTGCTTTGAAATAAGTGGATATATTCAACGTAGAGGAGAAAGAGCCTGCATCTCAAGAATGCAGTACAGCAGTTTTAATCCAGGTAGAATATTACTGATGTAGGGCAAACATCTCAGTAATTCTAAGGGTGCTCTGTTTAAGTCAGTACTTGCCTCATGGTTATTGGTATGTAGTTAACAGCATAGAAATCCATCATCCTGAAAGATTCATCTTCTCACTACTGCTTTAATTTTATAGGGTGGCAATCATGGTTTGTTTGGAAACAGCACAGCACAATCGAGGGGCATGCACACACCAGTGCAGCCACTAAATCCTTCCCCCAATATCCGGGCGCAAGTGCCTCCCCAATTTCTTTCTCCCCAGGTAAGGAATTTATAGTAACTGGTTACTTGTAAAAGTAGAGCTACAGACCTCAGAGCATTACAGACCTCAGAGGTTACTTACATATCTATCTTAGTCTTGGCTTGATGTTAAGAAATCAAAAACTTACATAAGATAAAAAAATTAAAATTCATAGTTGAAAGTGCTTAAAACTCAGTGCAGAAGGATTACCCTTCTTTCTTATTCCAAGGAAGTTGATGGTAAATGCTCGCTACCAGTATTTTTAAACCTCAAAGTAGATTCAGGAATCCTGTGTCTTACATAGGCTTTTGCAAAGTATTTTTAAAAAAAAAAAATGTGAAAGCTGAAAGTTTTTCTAAAGTGTGACAGGTTGCTTAGTTTTTTTCAAGCAGTCTTGTCCTGTGCTTCCTCCCACCCTGAAAGAGAGGCCTGATGAAGGGCTATACTTACATTTACATTGCAGAGCTTTAAGATCTCAGGGTCTCCAAATGCACAAGTTGACCTTTTGCTTTGGACTTGAAGACTTTTGGAGATTCTCTTGATTTCTACTTGTGTATCTCTCAAATAATGCAGGGAGAAATGGGGGGATTCTTCTCCACCTACTCCTGTCTTTTACTGTAGCTTATTCAGCATACAAAGAGATTAACTCTTTCTGTGAGGTACTGTTTCTTTGCTCCAGTGACTGCCTGAATGCCTTTCTTTTCCCTTGTCAAGCAGTACATTTTTAATGTGATAATGCAGTACTGTGATTACTGGTTAGCTGCAGATATATCAGCATTTTAATTTAGTGCAGTCTCTAGCAACTGATTGGTTGGGGGAGGAACCTTTGTGTGTGTGTCTGCATCTGCACGTGTAATACTGTATATTGTCGATCAAGTGAGGTATTCACTCTGCTCAAGTCATAGATTGTGCATGTTTAAATGTGATGTGTTAATAAATCTGTAATGTCTTTCCCAGAACACCATGTAAGATTGGTGTCATACCTATTCCTTTATAGACGTACTTCATCATATTCTCTCATAGCCGTGCGTTTCTTGAGGATATGTAACTGGTTTCCATGCAGGTTTCGGCCTCCATGCTCAAACAGTTCCCCAACAGTGGCTTGAATCCTGGTCTTTTCAATATGGGCCCCCAGCTTTCTCCACAACAGATTGCCATGCTGAGCCAGCTTCCACAGATTCCCCAGTTTCAACTAGTAAGTAGCTAGTAATCTTGAGACAGACTGTTTACAAAGTGTCTGCTGAAAGTTTTCTTATGTTTGTTGTAATTCTGTTTTGTTCTACTGATCTTGTGTTAATTTTGTACAAGTATTCCCTGTTTGTTGGACAGGAAGGTACAGCCCTGTTAGAGGGCAACAGGCCTGTGTAATTATTGTGATTGTTGCAGTGGGTTAGTATTGATTCTAATCAATATCTTTGTACAGAAAGCAGTTGTTTGTAGATTTGTAATTGTTTTTCTCAGACTCATAGTGATGGTAAGAAAGAAGGTACTAGTAATACTGTTGCATGATGTTAAATTAGAAGCAAGTGAAGCATATAGTATTCTTTTAATGCATTCACTGTCATGTTATTTGAGAGTGTGGAATGAGAAACAGTTTACCTAAGTTATGGGCAAAGTATTTGCTAGTGGCTAGCTCCTGGCAATTCTATTTCACTTGATGAGCTTTCACTTGATGAGCTCTGTATTCTCACGCTTCCCACCCTACTTATCTTGTAGGCATGTCAGCTCCTCCTTCAGCAGCAGCAACAGCAGCAGCTGTTACAGAGCCAGAGGAAGTTATCTCAAGCTGTGCGACAACAGCAGGAGCAACAGGTGTGGCACTGTTTTTGTCAATCATACGAAATATACAGTGTGCTGGAAAAATGTAGTCTGCAGCAGAGATGGCGCTGGTTCTAGTAATGTCATCTGCTCTCTTCAGTTTGCACTTTTCAGAGAGCAAGGTCCTTTGGATCTCTTTCAAGTCACTTTTTCTTCATGTTAACTGGAATCCCGTGTTACAGAATAGGATTTATCAGCCACGTTTTTTTTCATTTGCAGATTGCTCGTATGGTGAGTGCCCTCCAACAGCAGCAGCAGAGGCAGCCTGGCATGAAGCATTCGCCATCCCACCCTGTTGGGCCTAAGCCACATTTAGACAGCATGGTACCCAATCCTTTGAATGTGGGTCTCTCAGATTTACAGACCAAAGGGCAAATACCTGGATACGGTTCAGGTAAGTGCTCTGCGGGAAGAGATTTGGTGTATTGCCTATAGTTACCATATTAGCCAGTTATGTCTGGGTCCAGAAATTAGTGATTTATGTATAAGCACTAGAGCAAAAGTTACCACCTCATGATCAAATTGCATTATTTTTCATTACATGGGAAGACAACAGACATACTAACAAAGTGTATCTTGGCAGCATACTGACCTAATAAGCTTTTTTGGAAGTTGCCTCTTGAACGTTTCATTTGCTACTGTTCATTTTTTTTTTTACCTTTTCTTATGATCACAATGACTCCCTGTTTGAAGATACTTAAGCCAAAAAGAGCAAATTGCAATAGAGTTTTGTTTGTTTGTTTCGTAGGCTTTGGCTCAAGTGGCATGGATTACGGCATGGTGGGAGGGAAAGAGGCTGGAACAGAATCCCGCTTTAAGCAGTGGACTATGATGGAAGGGCTGCCCTCTGTGTCTTCACAAGATGCCAATATGCACAAAAATGGTGAGAAGGGGACTGGCTGTTTTGGGAATGCCCTTGCAATACCATTTTGCCACTTGGGAAATAGCTCAGATGAAACTATGCTTCAAGTTAGTGAATGTCTTACCTCACCAGTATGCATCTTAAATATTTTTTTCGTTTAGTATATCATACTCATAAAGGTCCCATCCTTTCCTGAGTGTGTGTCTTTTTAATGCTTCAGGTGCAATAGTGCCCCCTGGAAAGGCTCGCGGAGGATCGCCCTACAACCAGTTTGACATAATTCAGGGTGACCCACTAAGTGGCCATGCAGGCCCTGCTGGTGATAGTTGGTTACCTGCCAAATCTCCACCAACGAACAAGATCGGAAGCAAATCCAGCAATGCCAGCTGGCCTCCAGGTATTACATAAGGGCAGGGGTTATGTCTTAGCTTTAGAGTAGATGTGCTGAGACCTTTCCTTGTCATATTTTTTAAGTAACCACTGCAAGGAAAATACTTGCTTGGCCTATCTCATTTTTTTAAGATTTCTTCTACATTAAATTAAAACATAAATGTTGACTTTCCAGTAAAAAATTACTGGGCTAAATAAAAACTAACAGCTGAATTGCATGAGTAGTATTTGGGTTTTGTTAGGTGTACTCTTATCTTCTGTAGTTTGGTGACTTCACACTTACAGAAATTTCTATGAGAACACTTGTTCATAGAATGCACAATACCAGCTCCCTTCTCTTGTATTGATTCCTTATTTGCATTGTGTTAAGCTGACATGGGGTATAAAAATTCTGATTGACAGCATGGAATCAGAAAGCGAAAGATGTTGAAAGTTTGGTTTTTGTGGTGGTGGGAACAGAATTTTCTTGATTTTTTTTGTATTTTATGTAGCATGAACTTTTCTTCTGGCAATTGTTTACAAATATGATCGACTGCAAACCAAAAGGTTTCTTTTGCCAGCAGTATTGGCACAATATGTATACAATGTGTGTGGTATGCTGTTGTGGTTCACCTTTGCTCATGCTGCTTAAAGGATAGAAGAGTGTTGCCATGTTTCAGTACTGATCAGCAATCTTGTGGCTTGAGTAGAAGTTTCTTGCTTTTTGGATTACAGGCAATAGCACATTTTTTAAGTCTTCTAGAGTTTCACTGGCAGAATTCTGTCTTTTCGCTAGAAAACTCAAATATCTAGGAAAAATACATATGTATTTGAACACGCACATAATTTTCTATATAAAACATTCATTAAACAGAGTGGTGTCCTTGAAGTTGCATGAATTAATCAAGAGTGCTGTTCAGCAAATAGTGGCTGCTGTGATTTTTTTTCTGCCTGGAAGACTCTTACATTCCAGAAAAACATTCCTAACTGCAAATCCACTGCTATGAATCTCCTTAAGCACAAAAAAGTAAGGGTGCAGGTACATCTGTTGGCTAAAACAGTAGTGCACGACTTGCATCAGAAAGCCTAGGAATCTGTGTAACAGATACAACTGCAGGAAACCTACGAAAGGTAGTTAAAGTGTTTTTATGTGGGAACCCCTCAGTGTCTGACTCTGGCAAGAAAATGTTTTGATGAGCTAACAGAGTTAAAGAATTAGTTATCTCAAGAACAACTGCACACCCACATTTCATGCCACTGACTGCTTTCCATAGAGGTGTATTTGCATTGCATTTCTGTCAACCTGGTTGTTAAGTACTGAGCTTCTTGAGCTGGAGTTGCTGTTCATAATGCCAAAAACTCCCAAAATTTAATTTTTTTTCAGGACCTTTCTTGTAGACTTATTGTTGCTGAACTTTTTTCTTTAGTTACCATTTCCCTGTATAATACTGAGAAACGCTGCTTGGAATGTTGGGAGAGGGATGTGAGGATCAGCTCTGCCATGTTTCCAGGTTTTGGAGCAGCCCCTGGCTCTGTCAAGATTCTTGTTACCATAAGGCCGTTACAGAAGTGAGAAGCTGAATAGCTACTCTTTGCCCCTTGTTGATATTGTAGAGCTTCCTTAGTGATACCTGCAGTCCCACTGTCAGGGCTGCCTCACCTCTGTGAGAAGATAGCTGGAGTTCACAAATCCTGAACATAAACTCTCACTGGGATCATCAGTACCATCCCTAATTTCTTGTGGACATGAGTAACTCATGACTGTGCAGATACCATGTAACAGATCATGGATTTTGGCATATGGCATTTATGCAGTTACTGCTGTACTGCTAGCCGCCCTCTCTTATGAGGTCTGTAGACTATTAGGACAAGTGTTACTGTACCATAACCATCAGCCACTTAAGCCGTCTCATAGCTTCTTCAGTTTATTGGCTTCCTCAAGAAGGGAAACTTAGCTGAAATCATGATCCACTTTATCGACATCACTGATGAAGAATAAAGGCCCAAAATGATTTTACACTCTAGGTCCTTTTTCTCTGCAAGTTTGTAGATGAGGCCTGTCAGTTCCTGGCGTGAAGATACAATTTTTCTTCCTACTGTTAGAAAATAAGTTGTTAACGAAAATGAGTTTACAAGAGAAAACCTCTTGAACTAGGTGCATTTTTCCTTTGAATGAATACAGTGGTCACTCAGCATTCACCCTGACTACACCTTTCGCGTTTTCCTCCTAAATGCCATCTGCTGCAGAAATTCTGCCGTTCAAGAGAGCAGTATTGTTCAGCACAAAGATAAATGAAGTGGTGCCCAATCAAACTGATATCACAGCTGGAGGTGAGAGCAAGTTTTGCTGCATTGGTGAGAACTCTGTCTTTTGGTTATGTCACACAGACCTGCATACCTAGGTAATACTAGACTGTAATTTTCCCATTCAAGGGCAGATCGGTCATTCTCCAGGCAAACTGACCTAGATGTGTGTGTCATGGTTTTCCTCATAATCTTGTGCTTGAAGTTTTTGGGAGGACCTTTCAGATGTCATTGGAGAAATGCACTTCGTGTTTTCTTTACTAACTAGAAATGAGAATATGTCTGTAGGCAGAGTTGGTGAATGTGCGTTAAGAATAACTGTCAGTCCCAAAGGATAGTTTGGAAATTTGTCAGTATGTTGAAGTTCAAGGAAAACTCTTCTCCAGACCAGGGTTATACTGATGAGTGAATGTTTTTATATACCATAAGGCCTGATTTGGGGAGCCTTGTTTGAATATTCCTTAACTTTTTGATGACAGCTTACTATGTGCTTAATTTTCAGTCTCACCACTTCTCAGAAACCTTTACAAAGGCAAGACTAGACTTACCTCCCTTTTTTTTTTCTTCTTTCTTTTGGTTTTTTTTTTTTTTTTTTTTTTTTTTTTTGCAAACAAGTTCTAATTTCCAGGTTCTAATTTGTGTTCATGGATTCTTTATCTAAGAACAGAGAAGATCTTTTAACTAGACCCAAGAGCTGCATTGCTTGTTCCTTAAGCATAAGGTGGTTCTGTTCGTCAGAGGATTGCAGTATTTTGGCAGCAGCTGAGCACATTTCTTCTTTGATGCAGTGCTGATTGCTCATACTACTAGAAATGTTGATACCCAGTATCATAGATTATTTTGTTGAGTTATTGAAGATTGGGAGATGTGACTGAGGTTTACAAAATCATGAAGGCAGTCAACAAAACGATTTCTGAATTGTAACTGCAAATCCTGCAACACTGCAACCATGGTGAAAATGCTAGACTTAAGAGGATATAAATTTTAAATAGATGAGAGCTTTTTTTTTTCTCCATCAGGAGTGGTGAACTTCTGGAGACAGAGGGTACTAACCAGTTGAAACAGTGATTGGATAAACTGATGGAAAAACAGTTGCATGGGCAGGTGCTAGCAGATAGTGGCTATTTCTGACATCTTAGATAGAAGAATTATGGATGCTGGGAGAGTGTGAGGACAGTAGCCTACAGATGGTGGCCAGGTTTGTGTTCTGTCCCTAAAAGGTTTTTCTTCTACCACTGTTAGTGGAATTCTGGACTAGGCAGACCACAGTTCTGACCTACGGGGACATTTCTCAGTGTCTTCTCTGAGATTCTACTGACAGTGTATTATCACAGTCTAATACTACTCTTACTGTGCCAATTGTTTGAACCAGTAGCAATCACATTTTCTTCTGTATTTGTCTGTGAAAGTTACAGTCTTGACTATACTTCTTCGTTACAAAGCTGACTAAAATGAACACTTCCATGCCAAATTCACCCTACATAGTTTCCTTACAGATAGCACATCCTGGATCTCATTTTAATCATGGACTTTCAATTGCACTCATGCTCGGTCAATAATTGCTTCAAAACCTCAGGTTGGGAATAAAGGTATCGTTCCATATCCTGGACTTGTATCTGTAAGGGATGAATCTGCCACCTTGGCACTCTTTTCACACTTATCCAAATTGTCACATAGTATCTGAAGCTTCTTTACTTGTTGCCCTGTTTGGCAGTTTTACTTTCTTATCACTGCTTCCAAAATTGACCACATCACTTTACTCAGAGAAGAAACCAAGTTACTGATCTTTCTTACAGTAACTGGAGTTTTTTTATGCTCATACTTTATATAACTCATCCTCTTGATTTAAAAATGTGGCATACCTGGAGCTATGGTTGAAAGGACGCTTAAGCATGATAAGTATATTCCATCTCATTGTGAAGCATGAAGAACGTCAATGAGTATATATGTTGCTTTTACCACAAGGCATCTCACTTTAGTTTTACCTCAGTATTGATAGGTAATGTATAAAGTGTGTGTGTACCTATAGTGTAAAAGTGTCAAATGTTGTGTTTACAAACTCTTAAGGTAGGTAGTCTTTCCTTGAGAAAGGCTTCTGCACACACACAAAGTATGTGTGCAGAATCTAATCTTACATTATATAATCTTATATATTTTAAAAAATATATAATGTTTTAAGAAAGGGTAAAACCGTCGAAGCCTCATCTGAATGTAGTAAAACAGGAGCAGTCAAAGGAATAGTGTATGCACTTACACCACTTTTTTGTAGTGTACTTGTATTCAGACACTAGAAATAGTGCCATGGAAGGAAATGTAAAATAGATTCTAATTAAGAAAAATCTGATTTTTTTTTTCCCCTGAGGAACAGTGTAGAAGACAATTATTTACCCTCCTAAAATATCTTCAACAGTTATTTACAGTAAGTTGTATTTCCCTGTTTGCATCTAATTCCTTTTTCTCTCCTGTCCCAGAGTTCCAACCAGGAGTGCCATGGAAAGGTATACAAAACATTGACCCTGAATCTGACCCCTATGTGACCCCTGGAAGTGTGCTGGGGGGGACAGCCACATCTCCCATTGTAGATACTGACCACCAACTTCTGCGGGACAACACCACAGGTAAAACAATGAATAACTGGTATGTGGTTACTTAAGTCATTCTGATATTCGAGAATATCCTGATGTTCCTGTCATAACAGGGTAACAGTCTGTTGCATTTGACTAAGAAGGAAGCTTGTGTGCCTTCGCACCGTGGCTCTGTGTCACATGAAGGCTTGGCATTCATACAAGTTGTGGCTTTCTTGAGGTTTACTCTACAAAAACCTCTACAAAATTGGCCTACTCTTTCTCTCTCCTTTTCACTTCGATAGGGTCTAATTCTTCCCTCAACACCTCGCTGCCTTCACCTGGTGCCTGGCCCTACAGTGCCTCTGACAATTCCTTCACCAACGTTCATAGCACTTCAGGTATGTGGGCTCCTAAACTTAGCTGGATAAAGCATTTTCTACTTATTCACTAGTTCCTCATTCTTGTCTTTCAGTAATTTAATCTTTCAGTAATTTCTGAGGAACTTGGAATGTGAGTGGCTGATCAGATAGTTTGTCTCCTGATGATAAAATACTTTGTTCTAGTTGCTTTTAAAACTCGACTCAGATCCTCTGCCCTTCCTCTCACCCCCAATACAAAATCCTTAGTTGTGCAAGTTAAAGAATAGGGTAGCAGTAAGGAGTAGATGCAGAAGGGAAAAAACCAACCAACCAAACAAAAAAAATACAAAAACATGCACCATCTGTTGACATGTGTCAGGGGTTGAGGGACTGTCATAATTTTTTTAAACATACCTACCCTTGTATGTATGAATTAAGGATTAGAGTAATAAGGTCGGTGATTTTATTCATTTTAGTTTAAGAATATTGGAATGCTGTGAAGGGAACGTTTTTGCCTCACCTTTTATAGCACTCGTCTTTCCCTGAAAGCTGGAGAGAGAGCGGGCTTTTAGTCCTTTGGATTTTAATGGTTGACCTGTAAATAGTAATTTAGGTATCTGCCTCAGATCCTTAAGAAGGTCTCCAAAGCTTTCTTGTGAAAAATGGTTTCTGTACACACTTCTGAGTTAGGATGATGGAAATACTTCCTCCAGACAAACCATTTGGAATTTGAGCTTCCTATAGATGTCAGAATTTTCTTTTGAGCCATCATTGTCTTGACAGCTACTTAAAACTGAAGAATTGTGTGCAAATAGCAGAAGCGACGACCATAGCTGAGAGGTGCATCTGGCCCAGACTTTACAGGGTTTGAATCTTACTGAACAAAAGCTGTGGTCATAACATTGTCTCGGCATCTTCATAAAACGTGTTGAAAATCCTATTTAGCCCTCGAAAAAAACGGTGTTCCTGCTGCCAGTTGGTGGGGTGATTTTGGTTTGAAGCAGTATCTGTGTATGCAGCATCCCAATGACATAAAAGGTTTCTCCTACATAGCCTGGGAAAAGGAGTGGCATGTATCAGCTTCTTACCTCTGCTTAATTTTGTCTCGCACATAAAAAAGACCCAAGAGATAAATGATAAAAGTCATAGTTGAGTTGAGGAAACTAGACCACTGCCTGGCACACATACCATCTTCTGCTCATCTTGTTAGACTACACACCACTGTTTTACAGACAGAAAGCGGGTCATCTGAATTAGGGATTTAGAATTCACGTATCTGTAAAACAGAGTCTAGTGAAAGCTGTTTTTTAAGCACTTTCATATACTTTCATAGGTTAGTGCTTGAAACTTGCTTGCTATTGACAGTTACTCTGTCACAGAAATACAGTGATCCAGCTGTAAAATGAAGCACAGCTTTACTTGCTGAAAGCTTTATGGGTTTGATTCCCAAATGTATCACTTTTTGACACCCTGGCATATTGTAAATCTGGGGGTTTACCCTTTGTTTCAAATAAGTAATTTACTACCTTTTGTTAGTGAATAGAGCTTAATATGTATATTTTATAACACATACGCATGAGTTCTGCTTAAGCTAATTCACGATTAAGGTAATTCATGACACAGGTGCCTTTTCTCCTAGATCACCCTGTCAGTGTTCGGTGGTTCTCATTACAGAACAAGTTAAAAATAAATTATTCAAGCAATTTTTACTTTTGTTTTGTTTTGTTTTTTTACTGGGTGATAAATGTCCCTTGGTGTCAGAAGGTGTAGGAGAATTTGTGGTCTGCCTTCTTAAGGAAAACTGGTTTAGGAAATCTGTGATTCATGAGACAGCTTTGATCTTACAGGAAGACATCTTTAGGAGGTAGCATTAGCTTAGTAGACCAGGAGTGGTAAATACTCATTTCAGTTCTCTGCAAGTTTTTGGTCTGAAGAAGGTTCTGTTTCATTGAAGGTCAGTAGTGCCCAAACTTATAAGAAGTTCTCAGATTCTTAAATGAAAGGTAGTATGGATATAAAAGTTGATGTTCATCTTATTAATGATTGAACATGCTACAACTGATTACATTGTCATCAGTGACCTAGGGTTTTGTATTTTTTTGTCAGCATATGTAAAATAATCAAGGAGTATCTTACATGTAGTATGGCTTTTTTTGTTACGGTAAATTAATTGTTGTATGGCTCTGAGCTTTGTGCTTCCTTTCAGTATAAATGCAGTCCGAGGGTTTACAGTGATAGTACAGTTAAAGGCTAGCTAAATCTCCTAAGTTTCTCTAATATGTATAATTTATTTAATCTTCTAGCAAAATTCAGTGATTACAAATCAACATGGTCCCCAGATCCCATAGGACACAATCCCACTCATCTCTCCAACAAGATGTGGAAAAACCATATTTCCTCAAGGAACACTACAGGGCTGCCCCGCCCACCTCCTGGCCTGACCAACCCCAAACCATCATCTCCATGGAACAGCACAGCATCCCGATCGGTCAGGGGCTGGGGGGCACAGGACTCAAGGCTTGCCTCTGGTGAGAAGAATCAACTGATAGCACCATTGATCAGACCTGAGGAGTGTACGTTTTACAGCACTAATGGTTTGGAGGAAAGAAAGTTGCAGTTGTCTGGTAAAAGGAAAAAAAATGTTCCTTCTTGAAATAGAATTTTGCTGTCAGTAATTGGGGTGGGGGGTGGGTAGGGGTGGGAGTGGAATCCCAGGTCCTATTTCACGGAATGAGTGAAGAGGGCCAAGAGCTGCCAGGAGGGAATACCTACTGCATGGGGCCTTTAAAGACGAGATGCTTTCTGTGGGTGGGAAAGTCCTTGAAGACGAACTCTAGCAAAAAGTTAATCTTTATGTGAAATGTGAGGAAGGATGTGTGTTTGTTTTCAGGACTGAGGATTAGGCTTTCATATGTTACCAGGGCTGATAATGCTGAATTTGTCTGAGATTGAAAGACCTGAATATAAAGAAAAAATGTTTTCTTTATATTAAATCTGTCTTGATTACTGTCTTTAATTTGCAGCATCTACTTGGAGTGATGGTGGCTCAGTTCGTCCTAGCTATTGGCTGGTTCTTCACAATCTCACTCCACAGGTATTTTCTATTGTCTCTGGGAATTTGTTTGTTTCGCCAAGATACAGATTTGTGGATTATTCGGTTGTTTCTCTTTGAATAAAATCTAACAAAATCAGATTTGTCAGCATATGTAAGAGGTGCTTCTACTAAACTGGGCTGCAGTCTGATTGGTTTTTCTATTGTAATCTCTTTAGCTAACTTTAAGACATTCTGGTTTTGCTATATGACCATCATAACCTTTCATTACCTAGAGTTTTTAAAAAAAAAATACTGGAAAAGAAAGATTTTTCTTAGAAGTTGCATGACCATAATGTGGAATGGTTTATAGCTGTTAGAGACTGCTCTTTGGGATGTTGTCAATAAGAAAGCTGGTGTAACTGCCAGTTTTCGCTTTGGTGTTTCCATAGTGAAACCCCAGAATGTTTCCAGCACTCCTGCCAAAACCAATCTAGTTAGGTTATTTCTGCAAGTATTCTCAGAGCTTGCTTCCAGTCCGAATGAATTCTGTGGAGATCCTGGTTTCAGCAGTCCCAATTAGTCTGTATTCAAGGCTTAGGAAAAGCCTATATGATTATCAGCAGTGCCCTGAGGTCTAGACAGAGAGTCCCCTGTTCAGCAGGATAATTTGCCATGCTTCTACTACAGTCTAAGAAAACATCAGTGTGAAAGGAAAGACTAAGGTCTCCTTCAGATCACCCAAAATGGCAAACTGCACTCCTTTCATAGGACTGTTCTCCTTGATACGAAGGGAACAGCACTGATGTAATGAAGCAGCACAGTTCTAAGTCTCCCTTGTGCAAGGTAGTTTAATACTGCTTTAGGAATCATTTAATGGAAGAAGAATATATTTTGGAGGCATTTCAGTTAATAGAAAAGAGAAGGAAGGAGATTATAATTGGCTCTTCCATAAAAAATCTTCTGTTCGTTATAAGTCGGTACACTAGAGAGAAGGAAGCGTAAAGGTTAAGGGGATTCAGGGACAGTATGTTCATTTTAAGTTTCTGTTTTAACTTTGTCCATATTTGTACCCACACACAACTTCCTTTTACCTCATTCGAGGTTGTATTATGTAATAGGGGGGGAGAAGGAAGGAAGTAGCACTTCCTTAAGTATCTGCACATATGGATCCCATTCATGTGTGCATGTTCCTGTGGCATACCAGGAATGGAATCTGTGTGTGCAGAACACCTTGGAGAATAGCCGTTACTGGGGGTAGGTGACAAGCTGTTAGTGCTGCAGGAGGAATGTAGGCAACAACTGCTGTGAAAGCATTAGTTCAGAAGGAATGAACATTGCTGGGTTTGGCAGAAAGATGACTGTCTGTTTCTGTGACTTACTGTTTCATAAACCACACAGACAAAAAAGCACCAAAATAAATTTTTAAAAACCCTCATTGCAGAGGTGATACTTCCAGTTTTGCAAAGAACTTTTAAATACTGGTTGATCTAAATTCTACTAAAATCAGCATACTGGAGACTAAGACATTCTGGTTCCTTTGGTACAAATCCTGATTGCTGAAGATGGTGAGAAGTACAAGTTGTATATAATTACTGGAAAACCTGCTAACATAAGGATAGTGACAATGTAAGAAATTTAATGAGATGGAGAAAACTAGACTGAAGCTACAAGTGAGCAAGAAAGATCATAGAATCATTGAATGGTTTGGGTTGAAAGGGACCTTAAAGATCATCTAGTCCCAACCCCCCTGCCATGGTCAGGGACACCTTCCATCAGACCAGGTCACTCCAAGCCCCATCCAACCTGGCCTTGAACCCTTCCAGGGAGGGGGCAGCCACAGCTGCTCTGGGCAATCTGTGCCAGTGTCTCACTGCTCTCACAGGAATGAATTTCTTCCTATTATCTAATCTAAATCCACCCTCTTTCAGTTTCAAACTGTTATCCCTTATCCTATTATGCACTCCCTGATAAAGAGTCCCTTCCCATCTTTTCTGTAGGCTCCCTTTAGGTACTGGAAGGCTCCCCGGAGCCTTCTCTTCTCCAGGCTGAACAACTCCAGCTCTCTCAGCCTGTCCTCATAGGAGAGATGCTCCAGCCCCCTGATCATCTTTGGGCATGTCCTTCTTGCCCTGGGGGCCCCAGAGTTGGACACAGTACTGCGGGTGGGGGTCTCACGAGAGTGGATCAGAGAGGGAGGATCACCTCTGGACCTGCTGGCCACACTTCCCTTGCTGCAGCCCAGGGTACAGTTGGCTTTCTGGGCTGCAAGCGCACATTGCTGGCTCATAGTCAGTTTTCCATCCACTAACACCCCCAGGTCCTTCTCCACACGGCTTCTCTCAATCCACTCATCAGCCAGCCTGTATTTGTGCGTGGGATTGCCTTGACCTATGCGCAAATAAATCAAACTATTCCATGAAGGAAAGTCATTGTAATTGTGAGAAGTCAAGGCATACTGGTTCTGTTTTAAAATGAAATTCTGTCACTTTTGCTTACTTCTCACTGCTTTCACCTGTCTTCGTTTCTGAGAACGGATTATCTTTTCATTACTGAGATGAAGTTAGGATTGAAGTACACTTGGAGAAATAGTTACAAACATCTGGTTTATCCTGGCTGTTCTTCCTCAGATCGATGGGTCAACCTTGAGGACGATCTGCATGCAGCATGGCCCACTGCTGACATTCCATCTGAACCTGACCCAGGGCACCGCCCTTATCCGATACAACACCAAACAGGAGGCGGCCAAGGCCCAGACTGCACTGCACATGTAAGTGATCCCCCTGTCCGTTCTCTGTTACTACCTTAGTCATGAGCACAAAACATCTGTCCAGTGCTGTGATTCGGAAGCTCATTTCAAATATCATTGTTGGAAGGGAACCTCACTCATTGGCAGAGGAAGAAGAGAAACAAAGATGCCTTCTGTTTGTGCTACTTTAATTGCTGGCACAAACTGGCACCTACAGAACTAAGAAGGTGCAAATAAGATGGAATTGTGACCAGTATGTACCGTACTGGACAATTTTTGCCATTTTATAAAAGCTTGTGAATTGTTTCAGATGCAAATCATTTATTCAAAAATAATGCCAGATGTGTGGGGATCAGCTATAGTTTTGAGATGCACCTGAAACAGTTTACTTGAAAGCTGAAGATTGTAGATTTCCTGGTATTAAGCTTTTTGGAACTGACTCTGCCCTGGTATATTTTAAAATATGAGAAGTTTTGAGACAAAAGTCTTGGAGGTTATGAAGGGGTGGTGGTGTAAGCCCTTAAACTCATTGAAAACTTGAACTATACTAATCTTAACCTGAATTTCACAGGCTTATAGCCTCCTCTTCTCTGTTTGAAAGGTGGCATATGTGCATTTACGATTTCAGTTACATTGTATAGGCACTTTTATTGGTCTTGTTGTTCATGTTCAGGACCTTAGTTTAAATTTAGAAAAGTTCTGTTGCAGGCATGACAATTAAATGTTGGGGGGGGTGGTTGTTTTGTTTTTTCCATAAAATGGAAGCTCTTGTGCTTTCAGTCAGTTTCACGGTCAGCTAAAGTTTTCTCTGCTCACTCCATTGTGGCAAGCTGATCCCTCCTTTGGTTTGGGCACCTAATAGTGTTGTTTTCATGCCTTCTGAATCCTTTACCCTTACCTTCTGGCTCTAATATTTTTTTTGATTCCGTGCATCTTGTTTTCTAGGTGTGTGTTGGGAAACACTACCATCCTGGCTGAGTTTGCCACAGATGAAGAGGTTAGTCGCTTTCTGGCACAAGCTCAGCCCCCTACACCTGCAGCAACCCCAAGTGCACCCACAGCAGGCTGGCAATCCCTGGAGACAGGACAGAACCAGACAGATCCAGTTGGACCTGCTTTGAATCTCTTTGGTGGGTCAACAGGGCTTGGGCAGTGGAGCAGTGGTGGCGGCGGCGGCAGCAGTGGGGGTGATCTCACTGGCGCTTCTTTGTGGGGGCCCCCAAACTATTCTTCAAGCTTGTGGGGGGTCCCAAGTGTAGAGGATCCACACAGAATGGGCAGCCCTGCTCCCTTACTACCTGGAGACCTTCTGGGAGGAGGGTCGGATTCAATCTGAACTTAGAACTTTCAACTCTGACCTCGTGACCTTTTTTGGAACAGCAGCAGCACTAACTTGACCTTTTCGTTTTTTTCAACTTGCAATAAATACATTTATAAAAGGAAAAAAGAAAACGGAGAGAGAAAAAAAAGGTGGGTCATTGACAGACTGTCTGAGCACATAGTTGCCTCCCTTATATAACTTCAGTTTTTTCGTTTGGAATATGAATCCAAAAAGAGAACATATCACTCTTGAAATACTTGAATCATGAACGCCAACTTAGAAAGACAATGTGAAGCAAGTACACATACCATTTAAATTTAAACACAAAAAATTAAAAAAATTAGTTTCTAGTTTTTCACTTTTTCATGTTATACGGAAGTTGTTGCTAAGAAACATATATACTGAAAAAATAGCTTTTTAACTTTGTTTGCACTGGGTGTGTTTCCGTCCTTAGGTCTACCATGTTGGGTTGGGGTAGGGGAGGGGTTCAAAAAAAGAAAATTGGGGGGGAGGGCGGGGAGGAAGGGAGGGGAAGACTTGACGGAGCCTCACTTTAAAAACAAAAAAAAAAATATAAAAAAATTTTAAAATTTTAAAAACCCACCAAAAAAAAACAAAACAGAAAAAAGAAAAAAAAAAAAAAAACAACAAACAAAACAAAACAAAAAAACCAACACTTTGTGATTGGCTGGTTGATAAGTACCAGTGTGTTCTGGCACATGTAACTGCCCACGTGTGCTTGTTTCTGTGTGAGTGCGTGTGCACATGTTCGTGTGTGTGCATTTTTTTCTCTATATATATAATCTTGAAACGCTGCATTGCTGATGGTCTACAGGCTGTCTGGCCATCTGCGTGTCTTGATTCTGAAAACAAGACAGGCATGGTGGAGTCCCTGTGGCTGAAGCAGAATCCAGTTGGGCTGGATTAAAATTTGTCAGTAGGTTTTTTTAAATTCATTTTAGCAGGGTGCTATCTCAAGTCTGCAAATCATACTGAGTGGGTAGTTGCTTCCTAGCCCTTGTTCTAACCCTGTGGTTGAGCAGAACACTGCCATATCCAAAGGATTTGGTGAGAGGGGAGTCAATGTTGTCTTTTGAGTAGCAGTGTATTTATTTATTTATGTCTGCATGTGGGGTTTTTGTACTGAGTGAACCCTAGAATGTTTGTTATATAATGCAAGCCATTTTTTTTCTTCCAGTGAGGGGGAAAGGGGAGGAAAGAAGACGTTGCCATTTTTTTGTGCGGCTGAGACAAATGTTCTTATTCAGTCTCCCGCAAGCTTCAGTACCTTTAAAAAAAGATGAGTGTTTCTTTTCTCCCCCAAACCTATAAATAGGCACCCACATTCATTCTTGAAGAATCCATCAAAAGCTTGAAAGTCCAGCCCAACCAAATTAGCCTTTTAATTGATTTACTGCTTGTATTAAAACTGACAAAAACTAAATCGTGTCAGCAAATCGCTGGCCAGCCTGCCTCATCTCCTGAAAGCACATGCAGCTGACTCCTTTCTGCGTCCTTCATGGTGAGCGTTACCTGTGCCAGGCCTTGGTGTATTACAGCGCCAGACCATCACTGACAGAAACGTTTACTTACGAATGTTCTTAAACCAGTGTGTACTTCAAACGTTTCCTTTTGTTTCTCTGTGTTGTGTTTTTTCCTGTGTACGTGGTTTTGCTTAGGGAGGTATATAACTAGCAAAGACTTTTTTTTTTTTTTTTTTAAAGTATTGCACCTTTTTTGTTTCTACTTTTTCTGTACTGTTGCTTTTTAATTTCTGTATTTAAGGAAAGGTTTGGGTTTTTTTTTTTTTTTAGCATCAGTGTAGTTGTACTCTGGGCAGGATAGGGGTGACCTATAATCCACAGTGATAGCCAGTGTGTGCGTGCATGTGTGCGCTGGGAACAAAACTTTTAAGACCTGTTGTTGTGAAAAGAGTTGTAGCAGGCTTGAAGGAACATCCCTTGACACAAAGTGGGAAGTCTTTGGGGGGTGGGGGGGGGCCGGGAGAAGAGGGAAGAGATGCCGGTACTTTTTCTGTAAGTGCTAGGACTTCCATGTGGTGTTGTCCGGCCGTTATACTGTCGAACAAAGTGCCGACATTCTGTACCAGCACATACCTGTCCATTCCAGCCCTCAGCGGTGGCAGTGCTCGGGCTTTATTACCTTGGGGGGGGGGGGGGGGGGGGGGGTTGGATAGGGGAGTCTCTCTTCAGCATTTTCATTGAAGGATACAACAACGTCTAATACATTTAAGTATGGTTTGGGTGGGGAGAAGCAAAAGCAGATTCAAGTAATGTAGGGGTGTATGTGTGCGTGCGCGTGTGTGTGTGTGCCTGTGTGTGCTGGGGGTGGGAGGGAAGGGCTAGGGAGTTGCGTGGCTTTTTTAATTCGCCCTTTCTACGTAAACCCAATGTCACAAGGAAGACTGACTGAGGGAAATGCTGCATATACACATGCCTGTAGATTTGTATGCAAAGTGTTACGTGACAAAAAGTACGAGTAGGTTTGCATTTGTTTAGTAAACTGGAGTGTGCAGCATACTCTGGCCCCTTCTGAGTATACTTTTCTATCACGTCTCCTCCTTCATCCATCCCACCGTGCACAAAGAAACAAAATGCTCTCTTCCAACTCCTGCTAGCTAGTGCCCCTCTCGTGCACACATCCATAAAGCTTTGTTTCTGCTAGTCTCTGCTCGAAGACCAGCCGTGCTCAGACACGCGGAGCAGGTTCTTAAAAGTCCTGTGCCAGCAGTACTTCCTAGTGAAGCACCTTTGGCCTGAGTAAGCCAGTATCCGTTCTGTCACATGATTTGCTATACATGCTGGTTCATTGCTGTGTTCCACCCTCACTTCTCTCTCCCAACCTGCCCTAAGGTCCCTTTTCCTGCACTTTGGGCTAGTTGAGTTCATTGCGATACTACGGTGAAAGCCGGGTGCTAGAGCCCCTCTTGTTTACAAGACATAATGAGGGATTTGAAATATTTAAAAAGAAAAGCTAAATTGTTCTTCCATTGTAAGCTTAAAGGGAAAAAAATTAAAATGTACAAAAAAAAAAAAAAAAAAGACCAAAAAGTGCATATATATATTTTAGATGAAGACTAACTCTGGGAGCATTTAACAGTGTTTTTGTTTTTATTTTAACATTTTATTTTCCTGCTTTAAATTTGCAAGCATTCTCAGGAATTCTAGGGTAGGAAGCCAGTTTTTTGAAGATGGTTTATTTAACCTTATCTTATCCTAGATAGATGGCTGTTTCTTGTTGATAAACTTTTACAAGTTCCTGAATCTTCAAAATGTTTGAAAGTTTTTACTTTAAAATAAAAATGCTAAAAAAAAATAAATAAAAAGAAAAAGAAAAAAAGAAAAAATCTCCAAATGTTACTGTCAAGCAGGGGGATCAAGAATTTTAGAGACTGTATAAATTAAAATACATTAAGAAGACTTCTCAATATCAGCAACAGAAATTCATTGTAATCTTAAACAAGTTGTGGGAGAAGAAGGGTTATCATTTGTAGTGCTTTGTTACTCATGCAGACATGTGTACAGTTGCATGGAGAAGTGTTTGAATTAAAATCTATCCTTTGTTCCCTCTCGATTGAAACTAAATGAAAATACTCTTCCAAGCACCTTTTTAAAAACAAAGTGAAACTATAAACCTGATTAAAATGCAGTATAGTTTAACTGAGAAAGTCCTCAGTTAGGAGGACGAGCAGGAAATACATGATGGTGCTTCTTTAAACCACTTTAAGTAGTGCTAAAGAAAACCAGTGCTGACAGAATACCCAATAATGAAGTAGTTTTATTATCCTACCTTTTTCAGTACAGAAAAAGGAGGGAATACGGAAAAACTCCAGTAAAATGTACATTAGAAATTAACTTTCCTGTTTTCAGCTATTTGGTCAGTTTATTCCCCACTTGGAGATTTGCTGCTTGCTTTTCTTCACCCACCCCACCTCCCAGTCTTTCTGTTTCATTTTATATGAGGGAAATACCTGTTAAACTCTTCTGGTCACCCTATTGCTGCTGGCTGTTAGGGCTTACAGTCTTGAACTTCAGAATTCGGTGTTGGGACGGCCAACTTCTGTCTCCCAGCTCTAAGGGTCAGGGGCTTACTCTGCCTGAAATGGCTAGGCTCAAACCACAAAAACCGCGCTAGTGCCTTTTTACATGCACCCACATGCCCTATAGCAGGGGAAGGGAGGGGAGACGAGGCAAAGTGAGGCAGTAAAGCCACTGCATGGAAATAGACGTACCCGTTCTTAAGGAAAAAGAGCATGCTGCATAAGCATGTTGTGGAATGAGTTACATAACAGTAGTTGAGATATCTTTTTATTATTAAAAAAAAAAATCAGATGCCAAATTCCTGTCCTTTTCATATCAGTTGCCCAGTGTTTTCATGTTGTGCTGCATGTACACACCTGAGTGTATAGTGTGTGTTGAAAATAATGCATCAAAAATAACAATAATATTGTGCTTTTTTTAAAAAAAAAAAAAAAAACAAGAATCCTGTCGTGGGCCAGTAGAAGGAAGGTTTATTTAGGGAGTTTGGGATTTTTTTTTTTTTATTTTACAGAGAAAATTTCTGAGTGCTTTGCTAGAGGCTGTGATTTATCAAATCAGCAGTGTCCTAAAAGAGAGGAAATTGTAGGATTTAGTCAAAAAGATCCTGGGAACTTGACAGTCACTTGGAAGCAGGTTGTGACTGACTGCTGAAGGGTTGGCAGTCTGGAGCTTCAGCAGTCTGTTGGGTCCAAACCTATTGTAGTACAGCAGTCTGCTCCTTTCTCTAAACGTTCAGGCCTACAAGTGTTGGTGACTGCCTCCTCGGTGATACTTTTCCTAAATTGTTAGAGCGACATTAATCTTACTGTTTTCCAACTACAGTTGACAGGTCTGTTCCTTTCCAGATTGTATGTAGCTATCATGGTGTTGCTAGAATGGCTCAGTCACGGCACTCCTAAGCATTGCAAGTGATTTCTGAGCGTTGTGCTGACCAGCCTCATCTTCTGGGGACAACCATCGCTTCACGTTGTAAATATTCTGCTACCATTTGAGCTCATGACAGTGAAAAGTCAGCAGGAGTTGATGCTAGGGTACTTCTGGGCTTTTACAAAACTGGTCTAGGGAGGGAATCAATCATTGGCAGCATCTTGTTTAAACTTTTGTCTTTTGACAAAGAAGGTAGGGAAGAGAGGCGGAGGAAAGCACGGCTTGGAATAGACTATGGGCATCTCTTTCCAGATAAAAATCAAACCACATCATCTTTCACTGAAAAGCTTTTTACTTTCTTAAGTGACAAACAGAACTCTCTGCTCTTTTTGGTCCTCCAGGTTTGGTTATACAGTTTAAACATACATACTTTATAGGTAGTTTCAGCATTCATGGTTTTGAATCCTGCTGTGCTTAATTAATTAAAAAAAAAAATGCAAACCATTTTAGCAGTCTTATAAGCAAGTATCCATTTGTTACCTGCCGCTTTGTTTACCCCACCCTGCAGTGTGTATCAAGCTGATAGTTTTTTTAATGGACTTGAGAATTCTTTGCTCCATTTCCATATTTCACTTTAGCAGTGACAACAAAGTCTA